TCGACTTCCTTGTTGTGACATTTTCCCCTCCGCGTCGATACGCCGACAAACAAAGTGGACGGACGGGCGGGAAAGTCGTGGGACAGACAGACAGACAGACAGACAGACAGGCTGACAGACAGGCGTCAGGTGCGCGGCGCGCTCCCAGCCCCTCGCGCCGATTAGATAGACACATGTTTTGTTTGTTGATTCTCTCAAGAGCGAACCGTGATTATGTTGTTGTTTGGGTCCTGAAAGGGCGCCGTTGTTCCCCACTAAAGCTCCTCAGCTCCTTGTCCAGTCCTGTCCGGTTGTCAGTGTGGGTAGCGTCCGCGGTAGCGTCGCACAGTGGGCCGGAAGTCGGTGGAGGCGGCCCAAGACTCGTTTTGAGATCTAGAGTTGCTAAATGAGACTCGAAGCGAACGTGTGACCGCACCAAATGGATTTGCTCCTCGAACGAGGAATCTGTTGGTGGGGTCACGCGTTCGGTTCGATTCCCATTTGGCGACTGCGTCTGGCCTTTGGGCCGCCTCCGCCGGTATTCTGGCCCACTGTGCGCCGACTCGCGCGGCCACTGCACCGTCCAGCGTGCACCGGCTGCTGAAGCAGGATGCAGCAAAAGCGAGTAAAGCGAATGCAAATGTGGCGGGTCTGCACGCGGAACGACGCGAAGCCTGCAGGCCGATTCCGTCGCATCGTCTCTCTCGCACTACCGCAAGTACACTCTAAATGTAGGGTGCCCAGTAACTGGGCGCCTTTGTCGCCCGCCCCACTTTTTAGGGTGCCAAATGTCGCCCAGTTTCTGGGCACCTTTGTCGCCCAGTCTCGGGGTGGACTAATCATGCAGTAACCGGCCCTCTCCCATGGCAGAGCATGGACAGGTGTCTAGTTCCTGGGCGACTAAGGTGCCCAGATTCTGGGCACCTTTGGCACCTTAGTCGCTGCTGAGCCATGGGTGAAGGCAGGTTCCTTATGGTTTGTCCAACCCAAGACTAGGCGACAAAGGTGCCCAGAAACTGGGCGACATTTGGCGCCCTAAAAAGTGGGGCAGGCGACAAAGGCACCCAGTTACTGGGCACCCTACATTTAGAGTGTAGTCGCCGCAGCGCTGCGCTCAGATTCGCAAGCAGCGGCAAGCAGAGAGGGAAGGGGCGTGGAACTCCTGGGGATGGGCTCTGACCCGCGACTCTTGGCGGGATCGCAGTTTTGGTGACTCGCGTTGTCGTACTCGTATCTCGATACCGTGAAAATAAGCGCCCCCGGAGATCTTAGCTCGCTGCTGGCGGCCCGTCGCGCCGCCGCACAGTGGGCTAGGCGCCAGAAGACCGGCGTACGCGCAGACGCGTTTTGGGCTCCAGAGTCGCTGAACAGGACTCGAACCGAACGTGTGACCCCACCAATGGATTCCTCGATCGGAGACCAATCCATGGGTGGGGCCACACGTTCGGTTCGAGTCCTGTTCAGCGACTCTGGAGCTCAAAACGCGTCCGGGATTTTGACCGCCTGCAACCGTCTTCTGGCATAGCCCACTGTGCGCCGCCGGTCAGCAGGCATCCCGGTGCGCACGCGAGCGGGAGGGTTGCCTATCTCCCCGGCGCCGTGGTCGGCTGACCGGTCGCGAGCGGGGAGGTGCGGGGCGGGCAGGGCTGGGGCGGCGAGGAGAGGAGAGGAGGTGGAGGACTTTGGTGGCTGTCTGGCCGAGCCGAGGGCCGTGCCGTGTGTCGCTGGCAGGCCGGCAGGCCGACGGTGAACGGCATCAACCAGTGCTGGCCGGTTCGGTACGACTCTGCGCGAGGCGAGCTGAATCCTGATAACGCCGGGGCGAGTCTGGCTCCGAACGGCGGTGCATCGCTCTGTCTCTCTCGCACGCCTTCGGGACGCCCCATGAGTGCGAGGGAGACAACGCGTGTTCAGAGTCGGTCTGCTGACTTAGCAGTGCTCCGCCTGCAGTTCTGTGCAGCTGGCGCTCGGACGCGGACCTCGGCCGGTCCCTTGGTCCTTCAAAGGGCCGAGGGCGGGCCAGGGCGGGCCACAGTGGGCCAGACGACCGGTGGAGGCGGTCAAAATCCCCGACGCGTTTTGAGGTCCAGAGTCGCTAAATGGGGCTCGAATCGAACGTGTGACCCCACCAATGGATTCCTCGTTCGGAGAGCAAATCCGCACGACCGGTTCGAGTCCCATTTAGCGACTGTGGGTGGAGCTGTAAACGCGTCCGGAATTTGGACCGCCTCCATCAGTCTTCTGGCCCACTGTGCGGGCGAGGGTCTAGGTCTCGACCCGGCCAGCCGAAGGCGGTGTCAGAGGCTGGCCGCTGGACTGCACCGCCTGCACGCCTGGCCTGATTCGCGAGCGACGGAGATGGACGATGGGACGATGGACGCTGTTGTCGGGTCTATTTGCGTGTGGCCGCTCCACGCCCCTCCCCGCCCCTCCGCGAGCGGCTAAGTTTAGCCTGGACAATTGTTGTCCTCGCTGGCCGTGGCGGCTGGCTGCTGGCTGCCGGGCCACGGACCGGACCACGGCGGGCACAGATTGTTCCAGACCGGGACGGGGGATCGAACCCAGGACGTGGTGGACGCCGACGCTTCGCCCTTCGGCGGTCCCTTTGCTCCCCTGGTTCGGCTTGGGTGTTTAGCACTCTCTTCCGGTGGCGTGCAGCGCGTGCGGCGCGTGCACTTGCAGGCGGCCAGGGGGTGAGGCGACGTGCGCGCCGACACGCCCGACGTGGAGCTCCGAGCCACGAGCCACCCCCCGCGGCGCGGCGGCTGCAGTGGCGGCGGCAGTGGCGGCGGCATCCATGGGCTGGGCCAGCGAGCCCGGCCAGCCGAAGCCGAACCGGTGCCGGAGGTCTCCCTGGTCTCCCTCCCGGAGGAGACGGTGGGCGCGGTGGGGACAGCTGTAGTATTGATGGGTGCGCCGCAGCCTTGGCGGTGAGGGGAGGGGAGGAGCCGGCGTCGGATGCGCCGAGCGAGCGGCGACGCCGCCGCCACCGCCGCCGCCGCAGTTAGGCCCGAAGGCATCCCGAACGGGCGTGGCGCGGCGCGGCGGCGTCGCTCGGCTTCGGGCGTCGCGGTGCCCGCATGGCGTGGCGTGGCGTGGCGTGGCGCCGTGCCTTTCCGCGGCGGTGGGTACGCGGCCGCGCCGCGCTGCGCCACGCTCCGCGCCGAATGGTGGACGGCGTGGATGGTGGGGGAGACCAGCGCGGCCAGGCCCGCGCGGCACGGCACGGCGGCGCGCTTACTGGCACGAACCAGTTGCAAGCAGCTCGCCCTGCGCCCTGCCCGCGCCGCCGAGTCGACTCGTCCGACCGAGCCCGACCGACCGAGTCTAGAAAGGCCAGGCCAGGCACAGCCAGGCAGCGTCCCAGTCCCAGTGGCCGTGTCGTTGCCGTCGGCGTTTCGCGTCGCAGCCTGCAGCAGCCTGTCGCATACTCGCGCCCCCTTTGTCTAGCCCTGCGAGGCGCCCCGACAGTGTCCGCGACGCGACGACCCTGCCGACGGCGTCCTGCCCGCGAGGCCGCGAGTCCGCGCGCGAGTCCCAATGAGGGCCTGCTCGGCCTGCCCTTCGTAGCCAGCAGTCCGCCAGCAGTCCACCAGCTCTGCCAGGTGCAGGCAGGTGTCTGCAGGCAGGTGTCGCCACGCTCGGCGCCAGCGATCCGCCCGGGTCTACCACACGTCGTCCACGCTCCGCCCAGTGTAGGCTCCGGCCTCGACGTGCTGCTCGTCCTGCTCTAGCGCGCGGCTCGGCCCCCAACCTCAAACTGGTCGCCTCCGCCGCCAGGGAATGGTGCTCCACGCCTCTGGGAGGCCCCAGGCCCTCCTGGTGCCCGCGTCGGCCCCAAGCTTGGATCTCAGGGTGCCCCAGGCCGCTCCTCTGGTCGAGCACGCCCACCTGCCCCGCCAGGACCACGTCATTAGCTGACGACCAGCTCCCTCGTCACCACTCAGCCGCAAAAAGAAGAGGCGCCGGGGCGACGGCTGCGGGCCCTTCGGTACCCTCGGTGTCCGGGCAGCCTGGGCAGCCTGGGCAGCCTTGGCCGCGGCAGCAGAGGGGGCGGGGCGGACGGGGCCGGGTGGACCGGGGAGCCAGGGCGAGGCCCTGGGGGTGGCGGCGCTACCGCCATGCTGCCGGCTTGACGTAGAGGCCCACCGAGCGTGATCCGAGCGATCTGAGCGTGCTTCGAGCGTGGCCCGAGCGCCGCAAGCGCCAGCGCCATGCACACCAAGAGGGTGGTCGTGTGGCTGCGGCTGGTGGTCGTGAGCCCTGGGCATGCTGGCCATGGAGCAGCCCGCCTAGTGCTGCTGATGCTCAAAGCCCCCGGGCCGGGCTGGCCGGGCCCCTTGGCCGCCCCCAGCGCCGCCCCCAACGCCGCCCCCAGTCCAGGCGTCGCGTGGGGGTGGAGGTGGACCGAGAGGTGGTCCGCCAGACACAGCAGCGCACCAGCACCACGGGGCGCCGCACGGGTCCAGTTCAAACGGAGGCCTGCCGCCCGACTCAGATTGGTCGGTCCGGCTGGCCGCCATGGCGGCGGGTTCGATCCCAGACGGAGGCGCGATCATGACCTGCCTTCAGGCCGAGTCGGCTTCGGCATTAGTCTGCCTGTGGGTCTAGGTCTACCCACTTCACGCAGACCTGCACTGTCTGCGCTGCAGTTTTCTGCCGTGTAAGCATCTGCAACCCTGAACACCAACCCTGGCCAGCAAAACATGGCGAGCACGGCCTCGTCAACATCGCGCTCAAACACCCACACACTCTCTCTTACACTAACTCACAATTCTTTCTCAGTTGCTCCCGCACACAATGATTGCATTTACAAATGAGTACTCCTGCCCAGATCAGTATTGACTTACTTTATAGCTTGGGCAGGTCACCTCTAGACAGTTTAATTACATTACATCACAATGAATTTACTACAAAAACATCTCAAAAGTTCCCAACACGTAAAGCTCCAATTTTCCTTTTCTTTTTATCATTTGAAGATCCTGGTTGATTGTAAATGAATGTTTCTGTTGTTCTTGCAGGGTCAGTTGTGGACCTCCATTGAACACCCCTCCCATAAGCTCTGGCACTGTGCCAAAGGAAGAACCAAGTCACACTTTGGGAGACAGCTCGCAAGGACTTCCTACTGGACTTCACGTTCAAACACCTGGTGGGAATTGACCCATCAGTCAATGTGCTCAGTACATCTGTAAGAATTATTTTCTTAAAATCACATCAGCTCCTGTGTATCTTCTGTAGCGGTTCATTACATTAATGAATTCTTGTTTTTGATTCAGGCATATTGTGAACCACTTACGACTACCGCTACAGATCAGCAGACATCTCAGTGGTTGCAGAAACACAGATTTGGAGCGCATTTGAGGACTTTCAACAGTTTCTGCGGAGCTGACCTCTTGCGTCTTACTAGAGATGACCTCATTCAGATTTGTGGTTTGGCGGATGGTATTCGTCTCTTCAATGCACTTCACTCAAAGTAAGGACAGTTACTTATCAGTGTCTTGTTTGTAAATCTATGAGTGGTTATCATGTCAGAAACTAAAACTGCTATGTTCTTGATATTTCAGGAGTCTCACACCAGCACTGACCATTTATTTGACTCATGCCTCATTGGTGGATGATTCCAAAGGCAGTGTTTTTCGTGCTCTGTATTTGAATTCCCTTACCTGTGGAGAACTGAGTATGCGTCTAGCAGCTCATGTTGGTTTATCCCCCAATCAAATTGCTGATATTTTCATCGAAGGTCCTGGAGGCATTCGAGTGCTGATAACAAACGAAGTTGTTCAACACATGAAAAATGAGGGCCTGTTTGCTGTGGAACTGTGCCAAGGTAAGAAGAATGGATCCTTATCATTTTATTTCTAGATATTTATTTTTTGGTATTTATCTCGTTTATTTTTTGTTTTAGAGCACAATACAGAACGCTTCTGTTTGCTGCTGAAACCCACCACAAAGTAAGATCAAGAATCCAGCAGGTCATGTTGACTACACCAAGAATCTTTTGGTGATTTTTTTGTCAAGTTGTGCAACTAATTAGTTTTTGACTCAAATTTCACCTTAAGTAATTGATAACTATAAAATTTTATGTCAATGTATCTTATATATACCTCAGTCTGCTCCACTGAGAGTACTGTTTGAATGTTTTATTGAAATGAGCGTTTTTTTCAAAGGTTGTCAGTTGAATCTTGATGGCGGTGCTTTAATTGTTTTATTGACCTGGAGTGGTTTTCCTATTAGGTGAGAAATGGAGGCATTACCTGAGCGTGAATGAAAGTGGAAAAGTTACATTTTATCTAAGAATTGTGGCGCATATTCTTTGTGGAAGGACAGAACAAGTTCAAACACCCAAACTGAATTTAATTCCTCTTTGCTTGTTTCATTATACATTCCTAGAAATATATGTAGTATATTTAATCACGTATCATTAAAATATTCTTTACTCTCTCATAAGTGTGTTCTACATTTTACTCAATGTAGTAGGAGATGAGATTTCAATGATCGTTAGTTTTTGAAAAGTGTCGTGAGAGTGGTTTTTTAAAAAATATTTTATTAATTTATTATGTTTTGTAGTTGCTTTATCCTTGGGAGTCTCAATGAAATTGAATGTAACCAGAAGTTACAAAGGAAAACGAAGCTGAAGTTGGATGCTAAAGTAGTAGGATTATTTTATGATATGCAGCCATCAATGCTAGTGATCATGTCATTATGTAGTAAGTTTTATATTCTGTAATTTACATTTATCTCTTTTAGTGAACAGTATTTTCTGCTATCTAGACTCTGCATAATGCTTGATTTGGTTCTTCACCCAACAAGCTTGCATTTTAAGGCTCAATTATTTAGATCACAGTGTGAGCATTGGTAATGGTTGTTTGTGACATAAAAACCTGAAATCTCTGCTCTGCTTGATATTTGCTGTCTTGTGTTTATATTCATAGTAGTTTTACTGGTTCAAGTTTGCATTGCTGGTAGCACAAGTGTGATGATGTTTTATCGATTTATTTCCAGTCAACAGTGTTATTTCTTGATTGCATTTGTTTATGAAGCTTTCATTTTCTTATATTAGGACTTAGGGCATTGAATCCCTCATATTGAGGATTAGTCAAACCTGATGGGTTTGTGCTCACTGCAATGAACTATTGTATCAAGCTTGTCATTACCAGTTAAGTCGTAATAGTATGCACAAGCTCAGTCAATGCTTATTTTTCAGATGATTCTAGTTCAATGAAAATACCATTTAGTGACAATAAATCTCACTTCTGCTTTGCTTGTTAGAGAGTATTTGATTTATTTCACAGCATTGGGGTTCCAATGACACTCTATCTTGTAATAAGTATAAATTACCTGTTTTAAATGTTTGCTAGTATATTTACTCTTAACTTTCAGTGATTAGTACTTTTCAAACGAAAGTCCTACCGGCTACTGTCTATGGTCTCTCACTTCTACAGCTCTGCATGTTGCTCAATAGTGTTTTCCATCTTTTTTCCTTGGTTAATAAATCAGACTGATTTTATCAGTGCCTTAACCATATAATCTGTTTAGAAATTGTAGACATTGCGGGCATGTATTAGTAGTACGTATTCAAGAAATTTTACTGTAGTAAAATAATCATCTTGTAGCTATGGTACTTTATATTCCTGAAAGTAATCTATAATATATAATTGGGATCTAGCTAACAGTTTTGTTGTTTTGAAGAGCAGCTTTGTTTTATGTTTGGTTTTTTTAATGTTCTTATTCTTTTTCGGTCATTTCATTCAACTTTGCCATTTTATTTAGTACACTTTAATTGGCCTCAGTATGAGAAAAATCATAAAAGCAGTCTAGCCTGCTCAATACCAAAAAGGAATGATTGAAAGTGGAAGGATACATCTGAGTTAGTATGTAGAGTAAATTGTGTCGAAGACTGAGCATAATTTCACTTAGTGAAAGGAAGAGAGGCAAATTATTTGAAGATTTCCATGTGGGGTATTATGTGATACGTTAAGACAGTGTGCTTTCTTTTATTTTCAAACGATGAGAGGCTACATATGATGCTTTACATCCATAGTGCAGCTCATTTTTAAACAGCCATTTTAAAACTGTCCAAATTTTTTGAGTTAACCTTTACAGTAACTGTGTAGGATTGAAATACAAGAATCCCTCAACCGGAATATTTCTTGCCAAATTCAAGGCTTATTTTATTATCTTGCAAGTTGCATTCAAGCTGCATTTCTGTCCAGTAAATTTTCACTTTTCTGTCAATTTTGAGTGCCTAGGTATATAGAACTGACACCTTCAGTATTTTGCACTTCGTTAAGCCTGGATTCCTTTGTAGTTATGTGTTTTGTATAAAAGCTTTGTTAACATCATCGCGCAAAGGCATTTTGTTTTAGATCTAGAATTAAAGTGTTGTCAAAAGGATAGAAATCTGTTTGGTGTCAAGGTTAAAATAAACTATATTTGATTTCAATATTTGTTATTACAAAATCATTGTCCTTTAATCATCTCTCATGTTTCACATTCTCATCAGGAATTAAGATAAGATGCAAGCCAACAGAATGTGCCATGCGCAACAAACTGCAAGATGCATTCATCCAAATTCATGGAGCTTACATAGATTTGTAGTGCTGTCTGTGTGAAAATCAGGCACAAATGCAACAGTTTCAATTTGAAAAAGTCCATATCACAGATAAAGTCAAAAGAAGGCAGCAAAGTACAAATAGCATATACAATATGATTCTTAAAATAACACATAAAATGAGGTCCACAAAATGGCCGAATAAAATCTAAGTTTGTCATTTTTGTCCTCTCATCAATATGATGAAGTGTTATGTACAAAAATAAATTTTAACAAATGGCATACGACCCTTGCGGTTTGGGGCAAACACAACCCTGATATCCGTAGCCAGTTGGCCAAATTTATAATGTAAAATAGTTAAAAACAAATCTAATGTAAGCTTAACTGCTGACACGTTTGGGCCACTAGTAACACACTCACATCTGATTCCCTTACACATAGAATGACAACACAAACTAAAAAGTAAGTATATCTTTACGGTTGAGTCACAGAAACAAATTATAGGATGCAGTAATGAGAAATCGTAAATATAATCTAAAATGATAACATGTGCAAACAGTGAGACAGATACAATGAAAATATCATTTTCCCATTATATCAAAAGATCTTTCAAGCAAAACTGAACCATCAACCTTCAACAGCTTAATCTCTACTAATCATAAAACATCCCTTTGCCATGTTTTAGAAATTTGAAGGAAAAAAACAAGTATGTAACTATCAAATCATAAATACAGTAGTAAAAAAATATGCAAAATAGGAAACTTGGGCAGATCCTATACACTTAAGACAAATAAAATAGGCAATGAAGCTATCAAAGAAAGAAACAATACTATTAGTGGACCTTATGCATATTGTATCCTTAATGATTTGAGATGGGCCTCATTTCTTCCAGTCTCATCACGAACACGAAGGAATGACATTTCATAAAAGGCACCTTATTCAACTAGCATTTCAATGACAGTTAACCTGTACATAAAAGAATAAGACTGCCATTGAGTCCATTAATATTTTATTTGAGACATGAGTCAATCAAGTTCTTCAACTCCCAGAAGAGCAGTCAGTGAGTTTGCCTGATGGCTCAACTCGTAAGTTATGAGCCTTGGCTAAATGTTCATTAAGGCTGGTTTTCTCACTGGCCATGCCAACTCTGCAGACAGGGCAAACAATACCAGCAACATCACTATGAAATGTGATTGTGTGCTGCTCTAGGTGGTGTTTCGCAGCAAAGCCCTGACCACATTGCTCACATTTGAATGAGATTGCCCCTTTCTTCGGCACTATAACATTGGCTTTCGGTTTAGCTTTGGATTTATCATGCTGCTTAACATGGCTTTCATAAGTTTCTGAATCTTTGAGAACCTCATTACAAACTGAACACACTAAAGCAGGAGGTCCTCCAGTTTCTGAACTTGGCTGAGCCGCGGAACCGGGATCATGCGGAGCGTGCGGAGCGCCCACAGCAGCTACCGCGCCTGCTGCACCAGGAGCAGAGTTCATAGCCAAGCTGTAGATGTTTTGAACTGGCAGTGGTGCGGCAATGCTGGGCTGAACAGATGTGGGAGGCACCTGGTACTTTTCTTCCTGGGGCTGATCATCATCTTCCAGAACCTCTTGTTTGACAATTTCTATTATAGATTGATGATCACAAACTTGCACTGATTGAGTGGGTTGTGCCTGCTGGACTTGTTGAACTTGTTGAACTTGTTGAATTTGTTGAACTTGTTGAACTTGTTGTAAATGCTGCACTGGTTGTATTTGTTGCACCTGTTGAATCTGTTGTAATGGCTGTATTTGCTGTAGTTGTTGTATCTGCTGCAATTGCTGGAGTTGTTGCTGCACTTGCTCTATTGTTGGCAGTGGCTGCCCTGCCTGATTTTGCTGCAAGGCTTGTAAAACAGACTGTAATTGCTGATTAGCAAAAGTATTTTCTTGTCCATTTTTATCAACAGGTACTTCAAACATTGGCATCATCCCTGCTTGATCTGGCTTAATGCACTCCAAGTAAATGACTTGGTCATTTTGACCGGTGACCATTGCCTCTCCAGTACCATCTTGGGAGGCATTTGGCATGAGTAGTAACTGTGGAATAATTATTACAGTCGTGTTTGCTCCCAAGCCTTGGCCAAGTTCGTCACCGCCTGTAGTCAATGTAATTGGTATGAAGGCATTATTGTTGACACCTTCCGGCAGAGTGATTATTTGCTTCGATGCATCATTCGCAACATGGATAATTTCTTGGTGTTCTTCTGTTGAGCAGCCATTTTCTTCGTTGATTCCGTCAGGAATAGGGAGCTGCACAGTTGACTGTTTCGGTGTCGCTTGCACTACGCTCACCTCAGGTCTACCTGAGACTTCTACAGGAGTGTCTCGGAATTGGCAGAACAGCCGAACATGGTTGTTGAACTCGGAAGTTCTCTGGAACCTCTGACCACACTTATAACACACCATGGGCTCCAGGAAATCAGCCTTTGGAATGTGAGTATTGGCATGACTGAAAAAGTCTATCCTAACATTGGTCGTAAAATCACAAGCTCGACACCAGAGGTGATTATCCCCCGCTTCTACACTGTGAGCATCAAGAGCCTCATGGTTGTCTGACTTAACACCACACGCTGGACATTTCAGTTGGTTAGCATGGTTGGTCATATGCCTGTCTATAGATCTTCGCCAAGATGTGATGTTTTGACCACATATAGGGCAAGAAAACAACGGCGTCTTGTTATGCATACAGATGATATGCTCCCTCAGATGACTATCGTACTTAAAAGTCTTTCTACAAACGGCACATTCTTTATCTTTTGAATTACCAGCTGCTCTGCATGTTTGAGCAACATGAGCATCAAAAAGAGATTTTTCTTGAAATATATAAAGGCACTTTGGGCAAGTATGTAAAGGAACGGCTGAATGAGTGTTCATGTGGTTTGTGTAAGAATCAAAATTCTCACAAAGGGTCCGGCATTCTGCACATTGGAAAGTACCTGAAATATTTTAGAAAAAAATGAATTATTGTACTATATTGTTGCATTCTCAGAGACATTTAATGAAGATAACTCACCTCTAGGAAGAGTTTTCCTACGCTTTTTAGCAGGTCTGCAACAAGAGTAGAAAGCTCATGTATATTTCCCATAATTACTCCACAAAAACAGAAACATAACTATCTGCACCAGTACCTCTCAGCATCGTCCTCATCATCAAGGGAAGGAGAGCCAGTTAATTCGCTGCCTGCTCGATTGATAAAATCGACGATATTGGTTGAAGCAGGAAGTGATTCCGTCAAACTATCTGCCACAACAACCTGACAGAGCAGAAATAGGTGAAAACACATGGAAGATTGAAGAGGAAGAGTATACTCTGTGAAAAAGAAATGAAAATTACCGTAGAAGATGACCCTGCAGGTGCCACTTGATCTCCTGAGTCTGAAGCATCATTATGTTGACCATTTACTGGACGAACGAGGAGTGGCTTTTGATCAGTAATTTCTGGAGGGTCAGCTGGTTCAACTTTGAATTGAATCACACCCACATCACCAGTGATTAGCTCACCCTCACCATCAGCAGAATTGCTCGAGTTTGGTCCACCCTGCACATTGAAAATAACAACAGAAATGAAAACTGCGATCAATCATCGTAGGGTGGTAGGAATATGCATTTATCAATCACCTATTGTCATCTTTTGACTTACATTACTGTCAGGAGCACTTTCAGGTAAAGGGCTGAACCCAAGAATAAGTTCACCATTTCTAAAAGTGGAAAACAAAACAAATTATGGCACTGAAAGGTGAATAACAAAAACGCAAACACAGCACCATAGAGGGGGTGGCTTCTGGGGGCATAGTGAGCGAAATAGGTGCGGATTAATACTCACTCAGACATTTTCAGGTTTCATAGAAATTTGGCTCAGAGTGATACAAGACTTCAGTCCTAGGAAGGCAAGAGACGACTGTTTGCAAGAAATAATACCACCATGATGAACATAACCTTATAACAACTACGTCGTCACCCTCAGAAAGTGACTTGTCGATGGAATAGCACCTTCAAAGTATATAAAAGCAAATAAAAAGTTGATGCGGATCCACTAGAATTGAATATTGCTAGTGCGAGAATAACAATAACAACAAATAAATGGAGTATGTATGAATCTAAAGCGAAAAGGTTGACAATGCAACAACATCGTGCTTGTACACAAGCGGACTGTGAACAAGCGCTTTAAGCACCAACATGACAGAACGAGTCTTTTAAAGACACCGGCCTGCTAATTTGAAATGACTGAACTTGATCCCCATCATTTTACAATAAAAAAATTAATTTCTAAAAATTGCACATAAAAAAAAAAATAATCAGCGTAACTTCCTTCTTGAAACGTAGTCTCTTTCTACTCTCTCCGGGGCTGAAAGTTGGTATTGCCATTCATTATTCGCACCACGAGCTGTTTTCAACCACGCGGCCAGTCACAAAAGTCTCGTGGCTGCCCATCAGTGTTCAGTTTACGAAGTTTCTCTCAGAATCTTGTAATTGTTTTGCAACTTGAGTAACTTTTTACTTTGCTGCTAAACTCCTTCAACCATTCAGTATGAGGTAAAGTGTGATTGTCCATTTAATAACTCATCGATCACCTTCTGACTGTGATTTAACCTCGCCTTACTATGGCTTGTATAATTCCTTTTATCAAACCAGAAGTTTGAAGTCGTTCACTTATTGATCGCCTTAAACAGCTCTGTTATTTAACAGAAATTTTGTTTTGTTAAATGTTTAATTGGAATGCAAGGAGTGCCCTCTTGATACTGTCCATCTTCATACATGAATTTGTTTATAATTGTTATACACTGGTCAGTTTACTCGTTCCTGAAATAAACCTGTGCTCTTTGGCTTTGCAGTGTAGAATCTGTGTCTGACCAACCCAGTAAGAACAGTTTGAAGAGGCGCAACAACTCTGGCACATTCAATGTTGAAAATCCAAAGAAAATGAAGAAAATTCCGAAATCTGGAGTTGGACTTGTCTATGAAGCGTCTTCTAAAGGTCCACTGAAGAAGAAGAAAAAGAGGAGTTTGGATGCTGGTAATCATGATGAGCCATCATCCAAAAAATCCAAATTTGTACCTGATGGGCACAAAAAGCAGGTGTTTAAGTCTCCCAAAAAGAACTCGGGTAATTTAAAATAATAGACCAATATTAGATATTTTAAAAGTCCCTAATGCCTAATTGATATTTTCTTGTCTTGTTCTTTTAAGATACACCTACCGAGAAGCCGGACTGGAATAAGTTCAAAGAAGAAAAGAAAACCCTACGTGAAAAGAGACGTGCTTCTCAGAAAGCTGATAGTTTTGAAATATCTATTGAAGCTAAAAAAATTTTAGAGACCATTAGGAGCAGAAAATGTCCTGCTGCCGAACAAATTATGCAGCTCGAAAAAATTTATTCAATTTTGAAAGGAAAATTGCTCTCTGTAAGTATTTCATTTCCTGCTGACAGCTCACTTGTCTATTTAATATTTGATTCTGATCAGACATTTCATTTTTAGGTGGCGTATGCACATGACATGTCACGAGTAATTGAAACCATGTTTAAATTTGGCTCTGTTCATAAAAAAACTGACCTTTTGAAGAATATGATCATAGAACTTGCTCCTGAGGCTTTGGAAATGAGTAAGAGAAGATATGCCACTCATGTCGTGCGGGCAATGATAACCCATGCCCATCCCTCTGAAAGGACTTTAATTCTGGAAGCCTTCAAAGGTCATGTTAAGAAGCTTTTGGGTCACAAGGTTGCTAAAACTTTAAAAGTGTCTCTTAGCAAAATTGTTCCATTTTTAGACCTCATGTTTAATATTTCTTTTGTTTCATGCAGATTGGCCATGTTGTACTGGAAGAATTGTATTCCAAATGCAAGCCCTCTGAACAATGTGAACTTCAGAGGGAGCTCTATGGAGGGTCACATAAACTTGTCACAGACAAGCCTGTCACTGGCCTTGAAGTAATTTTTGAATCCTTACCAAACATGAAGGACTCAACTTTAGTTAGTACTAAAGAAAACATAATGGATCTCTTTGAAAAGTAACCCGTGTTTTTATAAATTTGAAAAAAATAATAATGATTTTATTTTGCATCAAGTTTGAGGTAATTTATTGTGTTGTTCCAGGAATGTTGTGGAGTCGCGTATAGTTCATTCAGTTCTCCTGGACTATCTTGGCCATGCAAGTCCTGAGGAGAGTTCTCAAATGCTGGAGCAAGCACGTAACCACTTCAAAGCGCTGACTCGCTCCAAGGAAGGCATTCATGTTGCAATGATGTGTGTATGGATGGGAACTTCAAAGGTATTTATTTTTGAAAAGATGAATTGAGTGCATATCATGGATCTTGTGGTACTGCTCTGATTGACTCAAATCACTTCTATGACTTAGGCACGCAAGAAGATGATAAAAGAACTGAAAGATGGTGTTGTAGCCCTGGCTATTGGAGAACACACTCACATGTTGCTGCTAGCCATTTTTGATTGTGTGGATGATACAGTCTTTGTTCAAAAGGTGAGTCTTTCTGTAATCTTCATATGATATAATTCTGACTTCATTATATAACATGCATTAAACATTAAACAATTTTCAGGCTATTCTTGGAGAATTACTTGCTGGAGACTTGACTCCTCTTCTTAGCAGCACCTATGGAAGGAAAGTTTTGATGTACCTTTGCAGCAAACGTAACCCAAAAATGTTTAGCAGCCCGATTATTGCGACATTGTCTACAGGAGACAATAATCCTCATAGGTAGGTGGTTGCTTTTAAAATATTGTTCTTGTCTAAAATTGCTGTACATAACAATTGTCCTTCATCTTTATTTTCATCAGTAAGAAGGATGCTGATGTTCGAGCTTTGGATTTACAGAAATTTGCTGTTCCATTTCTCTTGAAAAGTATTGCTCAGCAAACAACTCTTTGGGCCCAAAATAATTCCAATCTTTTGATCTTACTTGAGGCATTAAAAGTTGGATCTGGTAAGGATCTGCAATACTGTTAACAATTGAAATTTGGTTTTATATTGCTTAGTAATCTCTTATTTATGATTTACTCAGGAGATGAATTGAAAAGTGCTTTGAAAGCAATTGCGAAATTTATCACAAATCCACCAGATTCTCAACAAAATGGAGTAGATCTCAAAATTGTTGATGACAATGGATTTCACATGCTATTGAAAAAACTTGCTCAACATGATAAAGTATTCTTGGAAAATGGGGAGGGTTAGTATTTATTTTATTCCAACAATTTATACTTTAAATGCTCATTGGGTGAATTTATATAAATCCATTGTTTTGTTTCCCTACAGCAACGTTTGGAGAATCGCTGCTTGAAGAGTTAACTGACAACCACTTTTTAGCTTGGCTGCAAAACAATAGGTGCTGCTTTGTTTTGTTGGAGTAAGTGAGATGTTATTTCTAAATGTACCTCACAAATTTGGTGTTCATTGTTCTCTTAGTAAGCAATTGGTTTTACTTCCAGGCTCATGAAGAACAGTTCAGAGGATGTGGTTGGAAGTCTAAAGTCAAAAATCAAGCAACTCTCAAAATCTGTATGGAAAAAGAATTCTATCACAGCTGGTGCACAGAGAATACAGGAACTTTTGTGATGTTCCAATGAAAAATTTTATCTTTACCATTATAAAAAATTGTATGTTTATTCAAATAATCTGCAATTTTTACTCTTAATATTGTGTTGGCAAATACAGTATGAAACTAAACATAAAATATAGGTGTGTTAATTTTTTCCAAAATGTCATTGACTGTTAGTAAATGAATTGACGAGTACAGCCATATACATGTTGTCTCAGATCACATGTATTTGAATTATATTTTAAGTTTAGTTGGACTAGGATTATATGGGGCTAAAATCAGATCAATTGTTAAGAAAACTTTATTCCAAGGTGAAATTAAATTTCATTCTGACCTAAGATTGTTCATTTTTACCTCTTCTACTCTGTCTACTGTGACCGTTGGCATTCCAATTTTGGTCCAGCATTTTCAGAAGTGGTCAAATAGTAAGACCCCGTTTCCCTGTTGAGTGATATATGGTGAGCGGGACTGATTACTGAGAGAGACACGTTCACGAACGCGTTTAGCTCATGATGATGTTTAATGCTCTATGGCACAGTGTAGGGAGCCGTACACCGTGCTCTATGTTTTTGAAGAAAGGATGCTCATGCTTTTAAATAAAAATTGGTCTCGTCGCACATACAACGAAAGTTTTAAAACCGATAATCAATCTACGTGTTTGTTATTGGGAGGTATCGTCTTGTTCCATAAAAGAACTCATGTAATCGGGTACGGAGAAATCGTAGAAGTTCTGTAGTAGGACAGGTACGGACGGCGTCCAGGCAAATCGTTGAGCATACTTGTTCCGTACTTTTTTCTCGCAGTGTGTTACATTCGTTTGTATGCGTATAGACCATGAACTAAACGAATGTGACACAATGATCGAAGGAACGTGTCATTTCGTCACATTCATTTGTGCGTGATGTCACGTTCCTGGAATGAGACTTCACCCGTAAAGTAAGGTAGCGCAACATTTCCTCCGATATCTGACAGTGACATATTTCGACCGCTGATGCCGTAACAGTGCTAAATGGAGTCAAAGATTGCCGGCCGGAAAAAGGGGGTGGCGGCTAATCGCACACATTTGGCTGCGCGGAGGTTCAATTATCTGCCAGTGTTGGGCCGCAGTGGACAAACCGCAGGTGGGCCTCGCGCGACCGAGCGACGATTGCCTTTTCAATGTAACGAATTTTATTTACACTTAAACTCAAACTCACTGTATCATTGAGTCACGCATTACATTGCGCGTGACATTTACGTTGAGGCAGAAGAATAATATCCCCAGTCACTCACAACCAAAAGCTTGTTGCTGCGACCGGACACTTGTGGCGACAACCAACACCAGCTAGGTAATCCTCTGACGAAAGTTCGGTCGCGGCCACCAGCCTTCGGTTGGGGGCACCAGCAATGGTAGACTAAAAAATCTTTTAGAGTTTTTTGACAATCTCAGGTGTTTGTGGATTGCCGTCGCCAATATTTTGCTGACAGAATACCTCCTTGGGTCCTTTGATGCCAGTATGGCCGAAAAGTAAGATGGCGTATTTTGGAAATTCAAAAAACAGTGTCTTTTTAGTCAGAAACGCTGTTAGGCAAAGGCTGGAGGTCCCAAACTTGTTTCTCACAATACTATGTTGCCGCTTACTGTTATCAACCCATTTAAAACTAAAAAAAGTTTTGAAATTTTATTTGAAATTTCAAAAGTTACCACGGCCAAAGTTTTTCATATTTTTTTAAAATTTATGTGAGTGTTATACTTGGGCGGTAGGCTACGATAGAAAAAATTAGGAGCCGGATCCGAGCAAGTACATTTTGGACCTTATGGAATGCCCCACTCATATGTACACCAGAACGCTGAGTGATCCAGCCCCTCCACCCCTCGGAATTTTCAAATGTTCGGGACGGGCTAAAGTTGCCGATTGCCCTTCATTCTGTTAGGTTTCCGAAATCCGGAATGTGAAGTGTTCGAGGGTGAGCTCATATCGCCATGCTGCTCTTCCTGCTACCGTGCGCCGCCGCTGCCTGGGCCATCCCCCTGTCGGGGCCGGGTAGGCTGGGTGCGCCGGCCGCGGGTCGTTGGGAGGGTTACGTGCTGCAGCTCGCCGCCACGCTCAGGGACCGCCAGCTGACTGGCCTGCACTTCCTGTGCCGCGCGCGCTGCGTGTCGGCAGCCTCTTTGCGCAGGTGCGACCGTAGAGTCTTGCCAAAAATGAGCGTGACTGTTTTCGTGACTATTTTTCATGACTTTTTCAATCAAACGCATTGTGAGAACCAACCTTAACGGTAAATTCACGACTCTAATTTCCGTGTTCAAAATTTGGCAAGGGGGTGGCACTGGCTATGGTCAAGGGAGCGCGTGAAGCCATGCTCGAGCGTGAAATTTTGCAGTAGGATAAGGGTCCCCTGAGTCCCCTTAATTAGACCCCACGCACGAGGCAACCTTGAAATGAGACGGCTGAGATTTTTCCTAAAATTTTGATTTTGGGTGTTTTTAGTGCGAAGCCTTCGAATTTTATTGGTAAAAGTTGTACGTATCGAGAAGGGCATTTAGCATGGACCTGACATTTCATGCAAAGCGTTTTGATAACAACGGCCTAGTTTTCATTAACGGGAAGACGTGCGTAACCCGTAACCACTGCACCGAAGGCGTGGGCAGTATGGGCATGGCTTCACGATCGCCGTTGGCCATTGCAACCCCCTGATTGGGCTATGTGTTCGACGGGTTCGTGTACAGTGTGATTTCAAAGGGTAACGGTTTACAGAGTTGTAACTTTGAGTGCTGCAGGTTGGAGAGGCAACTGACCCTGACCTACACTCTGTCTGTCGGCGGCAACGTGAGGTCGTGGCCCGTCACGAGCAGGAACCTCTTCGTACTCGTGGCCCTGGACTGCGCCGCCCTCGCCAACGTGACTCTCCATGCACGGGATGTCGTCGTCATGGTGTCACTACGGACACAGAAGGTAAAAATAGCAGGCTCGACATAGAGTCGCCCTGTTAAAAACATCTTATCTTCCTGTTTCCAGATAAAAGGTCATTTTGGCTGTCACTTGGTGACAATGTCACGGCTAATTTTTCTTGCAACCATGTAATCAAAACATTTGATGAGATAGTTGTCACGCCCATGCAATAAGTATGCGAACGTTGGTGAAAATATCGTCGTTCGCAAGTGATGTGAAATTTCTTCCACGATTTTGTCATCTAGTGACAACAAATTTTTAGTGATCTGGTCGCTTCCAACAAAAAAATCTTATCTGAAACGCAAGAAAATTTCGCTCAGTCTGGAACAGCTGCAAATAAAAGAGCATCTTTCTTTACTATCTTAATTAACTTAAATGATTTAATGGCCGTGAGAGAGCGGTGCACTGGTGTTCTGTCGTAATTTCTCATAAAAAGGGATTCAAAAACCAAAAATGGTCCTTTGTCAGGCGTTCCTGTCGCGTGCGGCCGCCGCCTTCGAGTCCTGCTGGCGCATGGACGTCCTGGACGTTGTGGCCGTGATGGCGGGTCCCGGTGTCGGTCGCCTGCCAGTGTACACGTACCTGCCGTACCACCCGGGCCAGTGCCACGACCTGCGTCCGCGTCTGGCGGCCGTGTGGCCGTCCAAGTACCGCGGCCCCGCGCTCGGCCCCGCGGCCCTGGGACTCGTGGACAAGGTCCGCGACCTAGGGGGCTGCCCCCTCCGAGTCACCGTCGTCCAGGCGCGGCCCTGGACGGACCTCAAGGTGGTCAACTCGACCGGTGGCTTGCTTGTAGGCGGAACGTACGGGTAAGGTACACGGTTCCCTTTAGTGGAATGGCATATTGTTATCACTACGTGAGGACGAATTCTCAGTTCACTTATCCTAAACTGTTATGTTTTCTTCTCGTGCTTTTTTCGCGGTTGCAGTCGTGTATTTAGGGTAGTCGGTTTAGCATCTCTTCGTTAAATAACAGGAAAAGTAGCGATATACATCGGCAACTTTGGCCCGTCCCGTACATTAAGAAACGTACGAATTTCGCCTATGTTTGACCCTGACGGGAATTAAACCTGAGTCTGGGGTGAAAATAAATGTCGTTTTCGTCATCAGCACCCTCAAAAACGTCAGAAACAATGCAAAAACTCGAATAAAAAGAATGTTCAAAAAATACTCCGCTGGGATTTGAACCCGGGTCCGAAGTTCTCCGATTCGCTCGAAACTGGCACCATTGGTTTTCTCTCGTCGCCCCGATTCCAAAAATACCCCTACATGCCCTCCTAGCTGCATCCGTTGCCGAGATCCTCCTCGACCCCTTTAGACCATGATGCACCTGCAGCAGCGCCCCCGGGGCTCGGATCGGATTTGCTGCCACCGGGCGGTTCTTAGGGTCACCCAAGGAGGCTGCATACCAAATTTGGTCAAGATCGGACCACGGGAAGTCCTCGGACGGACGGACGGACGAACGAACGAACGGACGCACAGCAGGGATCATACTATATGCCCGTCCCTCCGTCATTTTTTTTACAAAAAATTAACGGGACGGGCCAAAAAGGGCGGGGAAAGTACGGCTCAAAATTTTGAACCTCCAAAAAACAGCTTAAAGGAAGTTTTTTTTCTATTTCATTACGCGTTTGCTTTTTACTTTCTTTTTCATAATGTATTCTTCCGTGATGAGCGCTCTCAGACTTTCAACAAACGCCTTTGTGTATGTGTTAAATCTATGAGATTTGCAAGGATTGTCTCAGATCAGCACTGACAGTTAGGATTATTCTATTAGGTGCCGAGTGATGGCCACTTTTAGCGCACAGCTGCGCCTTTCACCCATTTACGAAGTCTGTAAATCGTCTTAACCTAGGTTCTCATACTTTTTACTCTTTGTACAAAGTCAGATAAAGATGCAAATGTAGGCTCCGTGGAAATTGTTACGAAGACAGGGAAATAGATGGTTGACAAGGAAGTATTATACGTTTTTTCTGCGTTCTAGGCATTTTCTATACACGCTGGCCAAGCACTTGAACTTTACCCCCGAGGTGGCCCTTCCTTCTGACGGCCAGATGTACGGGAATCCAGTGGACTTCCCCGTCTTCGGGGGCCTGCTGGGCGACGTCTACAGCAACCGCAGTGACCTCTCTCTCGTGTTTACTGCCAGTGACTTAAAGGTAAAGTTACACTCTCATACTCGAGGTATTTTTTTTTCTTCCAATCATTGACTTTTTCTCTTCTGCTTACTTAGTGTTTGCAGCAATAATAAGTAAGTTACAGGAAGCCAAGTTTGGAGATAGCGACAAAAATATCAACGTAAACCACTGGAAGTAGGAAACGAGAAGAAACTGTTGGTAACATTTTAACATTCTCCCCAAAAAGCTGAAGATGTGCCCGGTTCAAAGGTTTTATTTCGGGATTTGTTCGACCATTAACTACCTCCTGACCAAAAATGAGCCAAATCCATGACCGCGTATTTTCAGGAGACTAGAGATGTTTAGTAGTTTTGACAAAATTCCTCAAGTTAAAATACCTTAATGGGAAGGACCAGAGTGCTTCACCCACTTCAACATTTCTTCGGACTTGTCAGAAAGGAAACCATAAGCCTAAACCCTCACTGGCATTCAAAACAAAATTTTCATGGAAAAAGTGAAATGAAACTTAAGTGAAGAGTTCAACATTTTAAGTGCCCCTGTTCCTAAACCGTTTGATATTTTCCAAAATCCTTCGGTTTGGGTGTTCAGGGGGTTGGTCACTACCAGTCAACCTTAGATAAGTGAAATCTACGTAGGCCATCAAAGGGGTTCCTTGCGCTGCAGTTGCCGTACCACAGCCGGCCGCCCACCGCGCAGACCACGTGCACCACGTGGTGCCTGCCCACGGGGTACCGCCAGTCCTCGGTGTGGCGGCCCGTGGTCGGGGAGTTCACGGTGCACACCTGGGCCGCGGTGCTGCTCTCCTACCTGGCTGCTGCGCTGTCCTACCGGGTGCTGTGCAAGACCGACTGCCTGGCCGAGAGCATGCTGGCCGCCCTGCAAGGCCTCGTCAGCTCCCTGCACACCGTGCCCTCGGACTGGGCGTCCAGGTGCGAGCCTTCGTGGGACCAATCTGGTCGAGTTTTGTCTTGTTCGACTAATATTTAATTATTTTTACTCATGCTCGAGACGTGTTCTCGATTCTTTTAATTCTGAGATGCCCTGAAAAATGACTTAATTTCTAAGTCAATTCCGTTAAATTTTAGTCGATTGAACTTCCTTTTTTGACGGTCTGTAACGGCACAACCACCAGTCATGAATTGTTTTGTCACGCATGCAGGCCGTTCGTGTTCTCCTGGTCTTTCTCGGGGTTGGTGCTCGCCACGTTGTACATGGCCGCTCTCCATGGCATAAACTCGTCCGAAACACGGGACACCTTCTTCAGGACGTTGACCGAAGTTGCCGATTCAAAGCTCCCCATGTACGCGTCTTCGGATCACCTTCGGAACTTTCGGTTCGTGCAACATAATGCTGTTTCCTAGCGTTGAAATGTTTCGCGAATTTAAATTTTGAGGCACTTTTAATTTACCCACTATAATTTACGAACCGTGAGCTTGATTAAAATGGGCTACATACCTTAATATAAGAGTTATCTCTTAGTATATTGTTCTAAATGTTTTGTTTACAGGAAGGCTCAGTTTGACACGGCTGGGGAGCAGGCCATAATGGAACGCGTGATCACATTCGATTACAACAAAGCTCTGCCGATGTTTCACAAGTTTTTCACAAAACCTGACTTTGGCATCTTGAATGACCGCAATGCGTGCCATGGGTTCGCCAAGCTCTTTACGCCGCCCAGAAAGGTGACATAAGCAGAGGCTTGAACTACGCTGAAAACTTATGAGTGTTCTCACTACACACTTATTTTTCCAGTGTGAGATGATAGGGACACTATGAACCTAATGCGGCATGTATTCAACACGCAACCCATGGCCTTGGCTTGCCCAAACTGGGGAGGGGAGGAGGGTTTCCACTGGGGGAGAGCTAATTTCGGTGTGTTCTGCTGTCAATGTCTAAACAGGCACATTATCTAGAGTGACAAGGTCAAGTGAATTTAACAGATTGTTTTATTTAAATTTTTAATTTAAAAAAAAAACGAAGATTGACTTTATTACTTTGAGAGAGATTCTCAAGCAAACGGTGCAACATAACTGCGCACTCTACTTTCATTTTTTTTCAAGTCTTCTTGCGTTTGAAACATGCACAACTTAAACTATGTTTTATCTTGACTAACAATCATTTATTTTAACACTTTTTATTTTTAAAAATCCAAACAAAATTCGGAGACGTTTTCGGGAACTACCCGCACAGCCCCTTGTCAAGATAAAAGTTGAATTTGCGCAAAATTTTGTGATATTTGAATTGGAAACAAAATCATTTTTTGACCAAAGTTGGGTTTTGTAAAATCGTACGCAGTGACCCAGTTCTCTCCCTGGCAAGCACCACTCTGCTTCACCATCGTGGGGTATAATTTTTTTTTTTTAAAAAAAAAAGGAAATTCACAGAGTCATTGAAACTTCTTGTGCCATCACAAGATAAGTTTTCTTTTCCTATATTCACTTTTACCAGGCACCACGCTTCCACGTAGTCCGTAACTACTGTCTCTCCGTCAGCATGACCAATAACTTGATACTTCGTCAAAATTCGCCTCTGTTGCGGCCACTCAGCGTCGCGACCAGCAGGCTGGACGAGGCCGGCTTGACCAAATACTGGTTTGACATCAAGGTAACACACTGGAAGAAAAAAACCACAGCAAAAGTACACAAATTCCAGACAAACTTTTTATCAGGAATTTATTGTACTTTCAAAGTACAACAATTGTTGTTCACGTACAATGGAACCGGCATGACGAGTTCTGGGCAGTCCAGGCCTCGTTGTGGTTTGTAAAATTCTCGCTGTACTTTCTACAACCCCTGTAGTACTTTAAGTGTACAGTTTTTGTTGTACTATTCACACTTTTTCATTACCTTAACTTGGTTTTGGCTACATCAAGCTTTGCTCCCTTGCCATCAGTCTGCCACCAGCGAAATGTCGTCCGAGTCTTCTGAAAATTAACCGCGGTGTTCAGAGCTTCTATTCACACCCGTATTATAGTGGCCCTGCAATCGCTCTATCCCCGCGCAATTTGAAATGGACCAATGTGCCCCTCTCTCCCCTGTACTCAACGAGTCAGACGATAAACTTCGTCAGAATGTTAATTTTGTCACGTTCGTTTGAATATGTCCGACGTATTTCCCTCAGACTTTTGCTATGGAGCGCTCGCCAGACCCAGTCATGCGTATGCGCCAGCTGCGGCCGTTCCTCCGCGTCCTGGGCATCGGCCTTGCCGCAGCCATCGTCACCTTCCTCCTGGAAGTGCTAGTGGCCGGCGTGCTCAAGTGCTGGGACAGGTACGGCGCCAAAGCGACCAGACAGCCTTCAAATTGCAAAAAAGGCGAAACTCTTTTTTATTTGATCTTAAAATCCCTTGGTGTCCGAAACACCGTTTACTACACGCTAAATACTATCTACCTGATGAAACCACAAATAAATCCATCATACCTGTTGATGCGTGTTGCCAATATTTTACCGAAGGAACATTGTACCTGATGCGACTATGCCTGATGGGACCTTGTACCCGATGTTGTAATACTTGTTCAGCTTGTCTCATGCGAACGAAGCCGGAAAAAACACACTTTTTAAAAAAGTTAACAATTTTACGAGTTTTGTTGTGAATTTTCCAATTGTTTCTTGTAAAATGATGATTTAATCTCTGTTAAATTTATTTTACGATCAGCTTGTGTTTCAAAACTAATCGCACTTTATTCGTAAATTTACGAGCATTGTAAATTTACAAGTATTGTTGTAAATTCACGACTTCCTTCGTAAATTTACAAAAATACAGGTGACAAAACCTGTTGCTTTCCCCAAAAAATGAAAAAACTTGTGAAATTAAGATTAAGAAAGTTTGGTCATTTTACAAAGCTTTCCGTGACGATTTCAGTCATCATTGCACAACATCTACTTCACATTACCCCTCCCCGCGCCCTCTCCCCTGTGGATTCGCACCTGACTGGATCTGGTTTGTTAATATCGAATGTTGTTTCCTTCTCAGAGGCTGCACTGTGCGACGGGAGGGCCAAGCAACCGAAGGGGTTGTTGACGAGACTGTTGAGAAATGAGCAATCTCGCCCTGGTGTGATCTCCGCCTTGTATCACTTGGAATCTCTGCCTGGTAGTGCAGGTTACTGTCCAGTGTCTTCGTCCGTTTCCGGGACGCTCTCTGTGTGTGTACCTTGTGTGAGAAGGACGTATTAAATCTTGATCCCAAAGTTCATCGTGTTTCATCTGTTATTCTAAATCCCCAAACCTGATATCACAACAGGTTATGGGCCCAGTAGTATTCTGCTTAAATATCAAGTAAAAAAAAAAAAAAAATCAAATTCAACTGTGGTTCGTGTGATACGAAAACTTAAAACTGTAAGTACATGAGCGAACTCCTGGTGGAGTCGAAATTGTCTCTTGGAATTTGAGAGACTTGTATTGTGCTTGAAATTAACTCTTATGGACGGTACTTGTACTGGAATTGTGCACCACCGGCTGATCACCGGTTGGGAATACTCCAATAACTGGAGGAATACTCCAATAACTGGAGGAATACTCCAATAACTGGAGGAATGCTCCAATAACTGGAGGAATACTTCAATAACTGAAGGAAACTTCCAATAACTGGAAGGAACTCCTGATAAACACAGGAGGAATGTACACTCTGGGTGGAAACCTTAGAGGAAGGAGATGTGCCGGCCTCAAGTGAGGTTAAACGGCCTTCTCCAAACACGCGTGTTGCGCGGGAATAAGAGAGGTTAGGTGCCCTGTGGAGAGTGGTAACTATATGTGCTTTGTATTCTTCTAGGAACAATCATGGAGGATGAAAATCGCTTCCGTGTTCCGCTGTTTGATGGCAGGAATTACGATGATTGGAAGTTCCGCATGGAAGTGTTCCTCCGCAAGGAGGATGTGCTGGAACTGGCCGAGATCGGTTTGGTGTCGCTCCAGGCGCCACTGGAGGACCATGAGGACGACTCGGACAGAGTTAGGCGGCGGAAGGCAGAGGCTCGGGAGGACGCCAGGAAGCGCGACCTAAAGTGCCTAAACTTTATTGTCAGCAGGGTCGCGGATTGTCAGCTTGAGTGTTTGAAAGGCACCAAAACCGCGAAGGAGGCATGGGATGCCTTGAAGTCAAACTTCGAGCGGTCGACATGCCTCAGCAGAGCGGCCATCATGAAAAAGTACATGAGCCTGAAGTACAGACCGGCCTCCTCAACATTCCGGGAGTACTGCACGGAGTTTGACAAGACGCTCCGAGAGCTCCGGCAGACTGGGGCTGTGAAGGACGAAATGGACACAGTGCTGGAGTTCATTTTCAGCATGCCGCCGGAGTACGAGAGTATTGTGTCCGCCATACGGATCGTGGAGGCGTCGAGGCTGACTCTCTCGTTTGCCCGTCTGAGGATCGAGGAGTATGAGCAGAGTCGACCGGTGCAGAAGCGTGCCCCGAAAGCTGAGTCGGCTTTCTCTGCCAAGGGCCATCGGACCCAACCGTACTCTTGCCACAGGTGTGGTGGTCTCGGGCATATGCGGAAGGACTGCGAGACTCGTGAAGAGAACATCCCCCAGGTCAGAGAGGCGGCTGCTCGTGCCCGTGCCCGTGGCCAATTTCAAAATTGGCGCTCCAGCCGGGGTGGCGGGCAGGCACATCGAGGCGGCTACGCGGAGAGGGCGCAGCCAACGGCAGCTCCCCCCTCCAGAGGCGCTCCATCCGGCCGTGGACGGGGACTCAGAGGCTTCGGTCGAGGTGGCCGTGGCGGTGGACATCAAAACAACAGCCGGGCCATGAACGCAGCAGAAGCTCCAGCAGACGACAACAATGGCGGAGTGATTGACAAGAGCTTCAGCTTCATGTGGAAGGAGGATGACGAGGTAGTTGTGGTAGAATCTGATTTCGAAAAACTAACTGCTGATGTTTTAGCTCTACGAGTCGACGAGAAACTTACTGAAGTCAGGTTTATTTTGGACTCTGGTGCGTCGAGACATCTGGTCAGACCTGATGTGCCGGTCTCTAACCTAGTGAGGCTGGAAAAACCAGTGGTGATTCAAGTAGCAAAGTCTGGAGTGGCTCTAAAAGGCTGGTCCAAAGGAACTCTGTATGGTTGGGTGAAAGTCCATGGAGTGGACCAAAGACTTGACATGGAAGTCCTTGTGGTAGATTGTCTTTCACATAATTTGTTATCTATTTCTAAATTAGACGATAAGGGTTATATGATTGCATTCTGGAATAGCCAGTGCAATATCTATGATAACGGGTCCTTAGTTGCTACAGGAAAAAGGGAAACTAACCTGTATGAATTCAATGTTTTAACGTCAACAGACTGTGGTGAGTTGTCGCTTCTGACTGAAGAGGAACGACTTTGGCACAAACGTTTTGGTCACCCAGGAAATGACAATTTGAAGAAAGTGTCTCAGATGGTGGAAGGTATGGTGAGACTAAAGTGTGAAGGTCGTGAATTCTGTGATATTTGTGTACAGGGAAAACAGGTTAAGTCCCCCTTTCCAGGTTCTAGGCCGAGGACCACCAGAGTACTGGAGAGAATCCATAGTGATCTATGTGGTCCTATCCGTCCCATTGCATACAACGGCTTCAAATATGTTATGACCCTAATTGATGATTTTTCCCATTTTATAGTGGTGTTTCTACTAAAAAGCAGAAGCGAGGTGTTTAGATGCTTAGAGTCTTTCATTGCCAGAGTGAATGCAAAGTTTGGTCATGGTATTAGTGTATTTCGGTGTGATAATGGAAGCGAATATGTAAATAATGAAGTCCAGGAGTTGTTCAGAGTAAAGGGCATTAAAATGGAGCTTAATATTCCATACACACCTGAAAATAATGGAGTTGCAGAAAGACTGAATTTCACAATCCTAAATAAAGCTAGATGCATGTTATTTGGTAGCAATCTCAGGAAGAGTTTCTGGCCCGAAGCTGTACTAACTGCTGTCTATCTGTTAAACAGGTCACCAACTCGGGCTATTAACCAGGAGGTCACTCCATTCCAACTGTGGTCCGGGGAAAAGCCTAAAGTCTCCCACCTAAAAGTGTTTGGGTGCGTGGGCTATGGAAAACACCAAAGGAACTCCTGAACGGAAAATTTTATTACAGAAATAAGAAATTGTTATGTTGGGTTACTGCGACAATGGATATAAGGTGTGGTGTATTCCTGACAGGAAAGTTATGTTTGCAAGAAATGTTGTGTTCGATGAAAGTAGAAATAAGTTTGATGATGAAGAAGATTGGATATATGGTTCAGAGAACGAACCAGACTTACAGGTTGGAGAGGAAGATGTTGCTGATGAGGAAGATATTGCTGATGAGGAGCCAGTGCCAGGAGGGGGTGACGAGGCTGTCCCTCAGGAGGGGCCAGCAATTCCTGATTTCCAGGTTGAGGAGTTCGACGAGGAGCACCCTCAAGGAGTAAAGGGGAGGTGCAAGGGTGCGAGTCCGTCCACAGCATCTCGAAGATTATGTTACTATGGCCTTGATTGCTGAATTTGTTGACAAATGTGAATGTGAACTTATTGTACCTCCCCAGGAAGGAAACTTGTGTCTTACCGATCAGGAGATTGCCTTGTCCGCATTAAGCTGTTGTAGTAATGCCCCTGATTCCTACAGGTCAATTGAGGGAAGGGAGGATGCTCATATATGGAGGGAGGCTGTGTCGGAGGAATTGACATCCCTGGTTGACAGCAATACGTGGGATCTGGTCGACAGGCCTGATGGAAAAACTCCACTTAACTGCATGTGGGTCTTTGCAGCAAAGGAGAATGGAGAAGGGGAGATGGTGAGGGCCAAGGCCAGGCTGGTAGTTAAAGGGTGTGGTCAAAAGCCTGGAGTCGATTTTCATGAGATCTACGCTCCTGTCGCCAAACTAATTACTGTAAGGATATTTCTTAGCTTAACTAATCAACAAAAAATGACAGTGTTCCAGCTTGATGTCAAAAACGCGTTCCTGAATGGGGACCTCAAGGAGGAAAACTATATGTGGCCCCCTGAAGGTTTAGTTCTCAAAGATTACAGTAAGGTATGTAGACTAAACAAGACACTCTACGGCTTAAAGCAGGCGCCCATGGAGTGGAACAAGAAGTTTGATAGCACGGTTAAGTCCCTCGGTTTTAGTCAATGTCATAGTGATCAGTGTCTCTATGTGTATAAAAATAATGGTGAGTGTATGTATCTTCTGTTGTATGTTGATGATTTCCTGTTGGCAGGTGTTAATGTAGATTTATTGTCCAAAGTTAAATCCAAGCTAATGTATATGTTTCAAATGGGGATTTAGGTGAAGTGTCATATTTTCTAGGTATTAAAATAAGTCGAGTTAATGGGGGCCTGTTCCTGAGTCAGGAAGCCTACATTAATAAAATGTTGTCAAAGTTCAGAATGGAAAATTGTGCTACTATCAATACTCCACTTGAGATTAACCCCTTTTAGGGTTTCTAATGGTGAATCTGTACTTGGTGTTAAACCTTACAAGGAGTTAATAGGAAGCTTGATGTATGCTTGTATGGCTACTCGCCCAGATATTTGTGCGGCTGTTAATCATTTTAGTCAGTTCCAGACCAACCCTACCACAGATCATTGGAAGGGATTAAAACGAATTCTTCGGTATCTCAAAGGCACCTCTAAATGGGGACTGTGGTTCAAATCTAACTCTCTCAACCCTCTGACTCTGCATGTAGATGCAGATTTTGCCAACGAACCAGGACGAAAATCAGTCTCTGGGATTGTGGTGGAAATGTACGGTGACTGTGTTGCTTGGGCAACCAGGAAACAAATATCTGTTGCTCTGTCTTCCACTGAGGCAGAGTATGTGGCTTTGGCTACTGGTGTGAGAGAGCTATTATGGTTAAGACAACTTCTAAATGAGTTAGGAGTAAGGGGTTTGGACAAACCCATTCCTGTCTTTGAAGATAACCAGGCGGCCATTCATGCGCTCAAAACGTGGGACATGAAGCGCCTCAAACATGTAGATATTAAATACAACTTTGTTAAGGACTTGTACCATAAAAATGTTATATCTGTCTTCTATCAACCTACGGGTGAACAAGTTGCGGATATTATGACAAAAGGGTTGTCAATCGATGTTTTCTCCAAGCATAGAAAAGGACTTGGTATGTGCTCGATTGAGGAGGGGTGTTGAGAAATGAGCAATCTCGCCCTGGTGTGATCTCCGCCTTGTATCACTTGGAATCTCTGCCTGGTAGTGCAGGTTACTGTCCAGTGTCTTCGTCCGTTTCCGGGACGCTCTCTGTGTGTGTACCTTGTGTGAGAAGGACGTATTAAATCTTGATCCCAAAGTTCATCGTGTTTCATCTGTTATTCTAAATCCCCAAACCTGATATCACAACAGAGACTTCCCGGAGCAAGGAGCTGACCGCCGAGTTCGAGGACGTTCTTCGCTGCGTTCGATTCGAATTAGAGCGGCATGGTGCAGCGTCGTCGGTGCGCTGGTACGGCAACGCCAATACATGGAAATAAACTGCTGTTGTACATCTCTTTCTTCGTCTTTTTTCATCAATTCCCTGAAGAGGCGGTGTGCTTCACACGCTTTCCCTCTTCCAACGATACCCATCACAAGCTACATGAACCCTTTTTTAAGACTTTCGTACCGCCAGAGCCACAGCTTAGATGTGACACGCCAATACGCTCCGCCACCCGCCCGCCAGGTTCTTCCTCTTGTTCTTCCTCCGGGCTAAGGTGTTCATGGATTCCCAACCCCATTTACTGGATGGGCTTCGCTATTGCTCAGCCAATAAATCAAAGCCTTGAGCACCTGAGATATTGCGCCAAGCCTGGAGGCGAGTTCCTGCCCTGCGATTTCTGCAGTCGTTTCGGGATCAGGAAGAACCACCGATCGATATTGCTATCATTGGTAGTCCCGTGGCCTTCCTCAAAATCAATGTTTGAACCAGTTGAATCAAGATTTCTCAGTGGCACTTTTTTCCTGCCCATTTTTAGTTAATTCGTAGACAATGTGAAGTATTGCTGCATAACTGCTCCTCTCGAAGACTACAGAAAGACACATAACACACTCACGTAGCGTTCACCTCTCATTGAAACCTTGTCCTCTTTCGGTTTTATTCTTCTATTTGCGGGCCTTACCATACCACCAACTGGCATAACCGAGATAACTTTCTCTCAGGACTCGCCCGTCTCGTACTCATTTTTCAGCTGCGTACTGGTAGCAACGAAGGCCAATGAAGATCTTCAATCCTCTCACCGCCAACCAATCGCGTTACAGTAGAGTGATCACGTGATCGGTGGGAGACTGAAGGTAAGCCCGTACAAGTCAGTTATATTCATACCACGCGACGCCGCGCGCATATGTCTCCAGTGAGGTTATTTCGCTGATAGTCGTTAACCAATCAAACTTTCCTGCTCTGTTAATCATTCGGCGACTTGCGACTGAGCGCAGTGCCGAAGTTTCAAGTTTCATTGTCACATTGTGTGTTCCATTTACTCCGTGACAGACACAGGGGTATTCAGGCAACCCGCACGACACTTGCACAGCGCCTTCTCAACACGTCAGTTTGCCCCCTCTGGGGTCTAGTCCGTCTCTAGGGACTAGGTGCGTGATGGTGCCGTGCCATAAACGCTTGTTCGATCGTACCGCGAAGAACAGTGTCACCAAACTAATGTTGGGCTGTTGCGTTTAGCCTGTCCCGTCCTCGTCCCTCTCTGCCCCTCCCCTGCTAGTCAGGCTGGGTCAAGTTCGGCGCTCAGGGGAAAGGGGAGGGTATTACAGTGCTGCCGTTGTAGGCTTCCTCATGACGACCCAACCGTGGTGCTTACTGATGGATTAACTCCTCGTAGCCTTGTGCGTGCAAACAGCGTTCAGGCAACGCCGCCGCTGTTGTGTTTTCAACATTTCTCGAACACTTATCCATCCAGCATGATGAGACAAACAAGCTCGGTAAGCACAACGGGGGCTGACTCTCCTGAACCGCGTACGATGTATTAGAGATGTTATGTCCATAACATGTAATGTTTTAGGTATTATTTTGGATATTTTATGTCGATATTTGTGTCATATTTCGTGGTTTTCTATGCAAAAATAATTTATAAAATGTTCAAGTTATTAAGGGCACCCAGTCAACTTCGCGCCGTTTTGTTGCTCTTTCACCATTGAAAAATCCCTGAACCGTAGTCAGCTACAATTTTACAAACCTCTGTCATTTTAAAGCTAAAACTGCACTACACAAGCCGATTTTCATGGCATTATAGATTAAAGTATTATAGATATTATAGGTATTATTTTTGAATTATGAGACTTGTATACGAAGTATTATAGGAGTCAGTCCCTCGCTGGGTACACACAGAGGACTCAAGTGTGCACGGAGTACAAATTTCCATTTTCAGAACATGCCATCCAGTCAATTATTCTGCTTTCCCAACAGGAATACCCCAAGCCCGCTCAGATACACGTTTCGCCCGTTGCCTCGGGCTGGACTTTGATGAACTTTCCTGCTCGTGCGCCGATTCGGCCAGGCGTTCTTTCAGCTCCAGACGAGAAGAGAAGCCAGCCGCTGAAGAATTCGACCGTCCTGAGCGACATGTTTGCAGGGCATGGGATTTACTACAAAATATGGCCCATCGGCTACGCGATGGCTCTTTTAGGCATGTTGCCGGTCACCTTCAGCCCAAGTGAGCAGTGCGTCTCGAGGGCAAATGCATGATGCCCTCACGGTAAAAACAGTGCCTGGTTTTCCGTAGAAGCCTATGGTAGAGAGGGACATTGGTGTCTCACACTTACAAGCGACGGACGAAATGTTCCACGCCTACAAGTGTGGGGCTGTCTCACACTTGGATTGGCAGTGTTCATGTCCCAGTGTTTCATGGTCGAGATTACTTCTTTCCTCCGCGAAATGAGGTATTCTGCGATAGTGAAGAAGAAAAAGAAGAAGATGCGGCTGTGGGAGTAGAACATCCCCTCATTTGTTTAGGCAGTTCGTCTGCTTGCGGGGCGGGCGTGGGCCATCATTGCCAACAAACAAATGAGGGTTTGTGATGTTGTACCCCCACTGCCGCATCTTCTTTTTTCTCTTCTTCACTATCACCAAATATCTCATTTCAAAGGCGCAGTGGCTAATACTTTTTCCTTGTCAAAGACTGGCTGCTAAATTGTTACATTTACTCATACTCCAGTGTTCAATGCTTCCCAGTCCGCGTGTCTGCACACCCACTGCGCTCCACCCTCGTCTACTGCGTCGCTGTGACGGCGCTCGTGCTGTGGTCTGGCTTCCGCATGGTGCAGGACCGCATCGCCGTGCTCGCAGACTCAGGCCGTTCGCTCCAGGCGTACATCCACTCCGTGCTGAGCATAGTGAGCGCACTGGGCATACTACTCCTGCCGTTGCTGTGGCTGGAAGTCGGCAACCTGTACCGCAACGAAGCCACCTGCGCGCATCTAATGGTGAGCGGAAACGTGCGAGGGGTCGTCAACTCTCTTTTGCCGTGTACGGACGGAATAAAATAATATATACGCATTTGGTCTGGCGTACACCACCTAGTACAGCGGTTCCCAACCTTTTTCGGTTCGCGACCCCAAATTTGTAACAAAAAATTTCCGCGACCCCCAGGAAAAATTTCGCGACTCCACGCGACCCCTCCTCTAGCATGCCTTTGATACAAAGTGCGATAATCCACCTTAGTTTGGGAGCAGTATTGCCGCAAAGTTGATCAAAACGGCCACAAATGTCTTCTAAAAATCGTGTTTTGGGCCGACTTTAAGCAGCCGCTGCGTTTGATGTGAGGCGGTATTTCGTCCTCCCTCAACGGGCATTTGGTCTTTGGACCTTCCTTTAGCATGCCTTTGTTACGGAGTGTGATTATCTGCCTTAGTTTGGGAGCAGTATTGCCACAAAGTTGATCAAAACGGTCAAAAATGTCTTTGAAAAATCGTGTTTTGGGCCGACTTTAAGCAGCCACTGCGTCTGATCCGAGGCGGTATTTCGTCCTCCTTCAACGGGCATTTGGTCTTTGGACCTTCCTTTAACATGCCTTTGTTACGGAGTGCGATTATCGGCCTTAGTTTGGGAGCAGTATTGTCTCAAAGTTGATGAAAACAGTAAAAAATGCCTTTGAATGCCATTTTGATCCACTTTGAGACAATACTGCTCCCAAACTAAGGCCGATAATCGCGCTCCGTAACAAAGGCATTCTAAAGGAACGTCCAAAGACCAAATGCCCGCTGAGGGAGGACGAAATACCGCCTCGGATCAGACGCAGTGGCTGCTTAAAGTCGGCCTAAAACACGAGTTTTCAAAGGCATTTTCGACCGTTTTGAACAATTCTGCCAGCCGGGAAACAGCCGCGACCCCAGGCGACCCCAACCACCTCGCCGCGACCCCTCGAAATTTTTCGCGACCCCCTTTGAGGTCGCGACCCCAAGGTTGGGAACCGCTGACCTAGTATTTGTTACTGTTTGGAGGTAAGTTCCTTCCATGCTCGGAGTACGCGCCGTTTGGTTTGGGCGCATTAAGGGGGCAGTAGCACTTTGTGCACGCTTTTTCAATTTTTTTCGATTTTTCTGTTTGAACCTGAATAAAAAAGACTTGCGTGAATGCTAGAGACAAACGGTGGGAACCATGTGAAAGATGAAACTTTTTGCAACAATTTCAAAAAAAAATATTTTGGTTTAGCGTTAAGGGAGGCACTTATATGAGGGACGTAAGAAAGGTCTGGAAAATCATACATGGTGTCACTGCGCGCACGATTTCAGCCAAAGTTTTCAACTTTTTTTCAATCGGTAAAGTGCATTAAAAAGAGCATAAAATTGTCTACAAAATGAACCACGGGGGTTAACATCGGGCCAAAAACGCTGGTAGAAAAAGGTCATTTTTCACAAATTTTCCATTGAATGAATTTTTCTTGTTCGATACTAAATATCTAGTAGCATTTTTCATCCGATATTAACCCCCGTGGTTCATTTTGTAGGCAATTTTATGCTCTTTTTTATGCACTTTACCGATTGAAAAAAAGTTGAAAACTTTGGCTGAAATCGTGCGCGCAGTGACATCATGTATGATTTTGCAGACCTTTTTTGCGTCCCTCATATAAGTGCCTCCCCTTATGCTAAAACAAAATATTTTTTTTTGAAATTGTTGCAAAAAGTATGATCTTTAACATGGTTACTGCCGTTTGTCTCTAGCATTCATGGAAGTCTTCTTAATTCAGGTGCAAACAAAAAATTTGAAAAAAATTGAAAAAGCGTGCACAAAGTGCTACTGCCCCCTTAAAGTGGCTGAGCGATGCGACTTCCCTCTTCTAATGGAAGCGTTCACGCACGTCGGAACTAGCTGTTCACGGATGGTTTTTGGCCCGTCCCGTGTATTTATTTATACAATACATACCGAAGGAGCGCGCATATAGTATGATGCATGCTGTGCGTGCGTCCGTCCGTCCGTCCGTCGGAGTAAGCCCGTAGTCCGATCTTGACCAAATTTGGTATGCAGCCTCCTTGGGTGGCAGCAAATCGGATCAGAGCCCCCGGTGCGCTGCTGCAAGCAGGCTCGGACGAGCCCCCAAAAGGCCCCGGCGGATAAGACCGCTACAGGCCCCCGATCATCATTATGTTTTTACCCTTCCTGACCAACTTTGTGAGGCTACCGCTCCCAAACTAGTTGCGGTCAATAGCCTTTCCGAAACAGGGCATGAAAGAGTAGGGTCATACGAATACTAGGGCGTCGAGGGAGGCCTTTTACGGCGACTAGATTGGACACAGAGGCCACCCAAAGTCAGCAAAATCAGCAAATTTCCGAGATTCGACTACTTTTTGACCAACTTGGTCGGAAAATCGTTGCGGTCAAAGCCAAAATCGTTGTGGTCAACGTCTTCCCGACACAGGGCATGGAAGAGTAGGGTCTTAAGAATACTAGGACGTCGAGGGAGGCCTTTTACGGCGACTAGATTGGACACAGTGGCCACCCAAAGTCAGCAAAATCGGCTAATTTCCGAGATGAGATTCGACCACTTTTTGACCAACTTGGTCGGATAATCGTTGCGGTCAAAGCCAAAATCGTTGTGGTCAACGTCTTCCCGATACAGGGCATGAAAGAGTAGGGTCTTAAGAATACTAGGACGTCGAAGGAGGCCTTTTACGGTGACTAGATTGGACACAGTGGCCACCCAAAGTCAGCAAAATCGGCAAATTTCCGAGATTCGGCCACTTTTTGACCAACTTGGTCGGAAAATCGTTGCGGTCGAAGCCAAAATCATTGTGGTCAACGTCGGCAACGAATATTAGCTAGAAGGGCATGGGTATTTTTAGCAGATGATACCTTTACTTTAAAACATACTTGACACTACAAGACACATAAAAGTACTGGTCAAAAGTATACACTTCTTGGGGAGAAAAAATAGTATGGTCATGGTGCTGGTAGCACCTTTTTCCCTACTTACAGGGGCAAATTAGCACTTTTTGTCTACCTCTCAGGCGGCTATCGAGGTGTTATGCGCCTTCCCCCCTCCGACCAAAGAAAAACCGCGCCTGCTGAAACGTGAGAATCGATCTCTTCTTTGTTTAGGAAAGCTTCCCTTGCTCTCCGAAATGCCGGTGGTCAGCAGTACTGTCTTGGATAACAGTGGTGAACTGCGCTTTGCTGTCCCCCATCTTCGCCCTCGCGTACGTCCAGGTCATCGCCCGAGAGGGCGCTGCCGACTACCACTTCTTCATCCACAACCACGTGTTCCTGCTCGTCTTCTGCGTCAGCGTCATGTTCTGCGCGTTGTCTCACTCCGTCAAGAACTACGCCAATAACCTGTGCAGTACTGTCACTGAGGTGAGAGCCGGGGAAAGTGTGCGACAGTCTCACACAAGTCGGCTGCTTGAGTCGCTCTCAGGCGGGACAGCCCAGCTGGGCCCTTGACGGACTCATGTTCTAAACCCTTCTTCGCATCTCCAAATAGCTTGAAGACTACTAAGGATGAGCTCTTAAATTCTCATAGTGTGAGGAAAGAAGGTCATCGAACCACTACTGTTGTCTTGTAGACTCACCAACGTAAGATCCACCATGACTTGCCTATGACATGTCAAAGACCGACCTCAAAGTTTATACCTTAGCTTTCAATTTTCATATTCACTCTGAACTGGTGAACGAAAGGACCATTAATTTCATTAACAGAAAACGCCTGAAGATGTCGTTGAACTTAGCGTTACATCGTCACGCAAAACGCAGTTTCCTCCACTTGTGGAAGTCTTTTAAGGGCAAAACTCGCACCGTTGTTCCGTCTTTTCATGTCATCCCCTGCCCGACCCACTGGTGTCGGTCCCATCACGCCACGACCACTTGTTCAGAAGCTGCCCCTCTTGGGGTTTAAAGGGGTGGGTTTGTACAGGGGGTTGAAACTCGGTAAATCGCAACTTTACCGGCCAGTGACACTCCCTCTTGTTCGTTTTGTTGACACCACCACCCTTAAACAAACGTCCAGATTTCTGCATTTCTGTGGACTGGATATTTCCGATGTGCGTAGATTACATATACTCGTCCATGGACCTCATGAATTGTCACTTTTTTTAAAGTGCACAGTGGCAAAAAGGTACGAAAATTCCGTAAACTGCTTGTGGTAATTCTCCGAAGGACTTTACAGTATTTTCCGTAGGACCTTACACTATTCTCCGTAGGACCTTACGGAAAACACTGTAAGGTCCTGCGGAAAATACTGGAAAGTCCTACGGAGAATATTGATAAGAGGGCTACGGAGGATCATGGCAAATAAATTATCAGAATTTTCCGTACCTTTTTGCCACAGTGATGTGGTCTTGTACATTCCTACAGGTGCTGTCGCTTAAATGCCCCAGTCCGAAACGACTGGTGTTGTGCCGCCGCGCTTGGCTGAGGCTTCGCGACCTGACGCAAGGCATGGTCGTTATGCCATTCACTGCCATGTTCCTGATGTTGTTTGTCCTGCTCATGACCACTTTGGGCTCGTACCTGTGTCTTCTTTGCCTCTTCGAAAGTCAGGTTGGTATGAAACCTTGCACCAAGTAGATCGACTTACTAATCCTTAATTGTGCTTATCTTGATGGCGCGATGCCAGCGTCAACGTACTGTACTGTGGCGTCCTTTTTTTAACATATTCATGTTGGCTCAGGTGGTGCGCGGAATCTTCTTGCTTATCCTTGGCCTTTACTTTAGTGGACTTCTTCTCCTTGTCTGCGACGCAGTTCATCGGACCACAGCAGCGGTCAGTTGCGTCGTCTGAGGCACACTACTGGAAATCCAAGTGTGGGGCAGGCATGCACTAGATAACTTGTTGGTGTCTTGGCTGAGTACATATCTACCGATGCACGTACACACCAGCAGATGGATACGGTACAGACCTGTGTGGACTCGTCAAGTATTCATCATTATTCATCTGTGATGCATACTGAGCACGCACTTCCGTTTGCGGAGTAAGTTCCGGGGAAAACCCTAACCTAACCGTTTGTGCCGTGACAATCGAATCAGACAAATCAAACAAGACCGACCAGTGGCCACTTCTTCTAGACACCCTCCGAGGTTTCAGTTGCCCGTAGAGCCAAACCAATGAACCAAAGGAGAGTAGAATTCAAAAATATTCAGCTCGGCATGAATTTTCTTGAAAAAGACAAAAAGATGTTGACGATTCTTGTAAGTGCCCCCGGAAAAGACGTATGCAGTAAGCGTAATTATCGCAGGGGTTGCTCATTCGGCACGGAACAGAGAAATGTTAAATACATTTTAAAAGTACCGTTGGTGTGGGCGTCAATCATTGAAAAGCGTTGGGTTGGAAGATATTGTCCATCCTATTTGATTTTTTTTCTCTGGGTGTGAAGTTGCAGCTATACTGTGTTCAAGTGTTTCCCGCCGTTTCATAATCTGTGCCTCTTTAGGTCGGGGACAATTTTCTGAGGCCGCTGGAATCATTCTGCCGAGCCAACGAGATTGGAGATGCGGCAATGGAAGAGGTAACGGGCGGGAAAACGAATGAGGAAATGCTGGCAGACCGAAAAAGTCAATCAATCATTTTGTCCCTGTTGACCAAAGGAAAACACACTGCAAACGTATGTGTGCCTTGAGTACTAAACATAACTCATACGATTGATTGGGATGAAGTTCACGAGGGGAAGTGGCGCGTTCACGCTCCAACGATTGCGATGTCACACTCGCAGGATAACCGCAGTGATTGAGAGCGATTAATCTCAAGTCAAGATCTTTCAGGTGACGAAAATGTCTCCATGATTTTTTTGGCATTCTGTGCATTTCTTTTTTTACAGTGAATTTAAGGGTCTATTTAGCTTTCTCAAAATCTTACACGCCACTTTTCTCATGCCTTCAATTGCTTCTGCCGAGCTTTCACTTTATGTTAAAAGCCTGGAAAGTGCAAAGCCATTGATCATGGCGAGGGGTAGACACTCGCGTAATACCCTGTGCACAAAAACCGTGTATCACGCGTAATACACGTAGTTGTATTGCAATTTTTGGACCAAATGTGCCAAATTTTGGCATTTGGATGCCGAAATACTATACGTGTAAAATCCCCGTAATACAGCGTACTACTGAGTACTCTGTACGCGATTTCTTAAAGTGTTTACCCCCTCGGATCATGATGTAACGGGGTCCTTTATCTGCGCAGGTCAACATTTTTCGTGAAATCGTGGCGTCCAAGGAAATATCCGTATCAGCTGCTGGTTTTTGGGTCATAAACAGGGGGACCCTGGGCTCTGTAAGCATTATCACACGAGAAGGGACAGCAGACAAAACCCATTTGCCAATTGTTCTAACCCATTTAAAATAGTTGAAACCCATTGGGAATGGAATGTGACCCGTTGAGAATGGGTTACGACCCGTTTGGAACGGGTTGAGACCCTATGAATGGGTCGTGACAGACCCAGCTCTTTGCGTTTGGTCAGGGAACGCCTACGAGGTAGGCAAAAATTGTGGTGCAATAACACACCTAAGGGTAAATTGTAAATTACCGCAGCTAGGCCAAATCCTACAACCGTTGTGTTCAGCGCCGTAAGGTTTTTACGTCTTCGTTGAATCATGATGTAACGGGTCCTTTATCTCGACTAGGTCAACATTTTTCGTGAAATCGTGGCGTCGACGAAATTCCGTATCAGCTGCTGGTTTTTGGGTCATAAACAGGGGACCCTGGGCTCTGTAAGCATTATCACACGATATGGGTAAAGGGGAATTCCTTTTTGCCAATCGTTCTAACCCATTTAAATAGTTGAAACCCATTGGAAATGGGTTGTGACCCGTTGAGAATGGGTTACGACCCGTTTCGGGTTGAGAACCATCATGAATGGGTCGTGACCCAATGAAGATGGGTTAACCCGTTGAGACCCAGCTCTTTCGGTTCGGTCAGAGAACGCCTGCGAGGTAGGCAAAAATTTTGGTGCAATAACACACACAGGGTAAATTGTAAATTGCCGCAGCTAGGCCAAATCCTACATCACCATTGTGTTCAGCGCTGTAAGTTTGGTTTGTGACGTACATCTAGGCTAGATAAACTTCTTTGTAAAAGAAATAATAAAAATTCTAGTCTGAGTTTGGACATTTTGCGGTGGCTCATACCCATTATGGGTGCAACCCATTTAAATAGGTACTTTTCATACACCCATTACATAGATTGGACCTATAAGTGGGTTAGACCAAATTAAATGGGTGCATGTAAAGTGCCCATCTAAATAGGTTCAGCGTATGGGTTTTGTCTGCTATGGGCGGAATTCACCGCGCACTGAATCTTGTGAAAGCACGCGTTTCTTAATGTGCACTATTTGCCTTCATTGTCTGTTGAGAGGTTCGGTTAGCCAGCAATACGAAGAAAGTTGGTTTGGAATGGAAACCAAATTGGCCAGTGTTTATGTGGACCTATCAATGCAATCCAAGGAGTGAGACTGACTCACACTATTTGGCGTGAAACAAAATGTCACACCCTCTCAAGCGTGAGCCACTTTTCGTGCCACGCTTGCAAGTGTGCATTCCAGGAACGTGAAATCACGGTGAAACGTTTCTGACAAAAAGTCACGTCCCTGTGAGCATTGTGCTGCATTCATCGCGAAGTAAATGGGCCAAAAATCAGCATATTCACTTTTAAACAAATGTGACACAATGTTCAAAAGAGCGAGACACTGGAATGAGAGTATGCCGACCGGTTTATCCCACACTTCCTGCCTCCCTACGGTTCAATGCCACGGGTCCCACGCTTAGTGGCACTGATGGATCTGACGAGCGTGAGACACTAGTCGAGGGGTCCTATTCAAGAGACCTTATCTGGGCATTTCCCCAAAGAGAATCTCATCTTAAACGCAGGTGAATTTCACTCAGTTTGATCAATTGATAAGCTACAAATCAAAATAATTTGTGATTAAATTCACTAAATCTGAAGATGAAAGACCAAAGAGACCGAAAGTGCATGTAGAAATATATTCCGCTTACTCTCGTATCCGTCCGAAATGATCAAACTGAGCGGAATTCGTCTGCGTTCAAAAATAGGATTCTCTTGGGGGGGAGCGCCCAGATAAGATCTTTTGAATAGGACCCCTCGTATTGTGAGACAAGCCATGTCTCACACTTGCAAACGTGAGGCACACGAGTTAGCGTGAGGCATATTGATTCACGTCAAATGAGTTTGGTTTCACAGTGCACACCGGTTACTAACATATGCGTCTTGCCCAGCTTGCGGCGGCGTCCGTCAGCTACCTCGTCATCCTCATTCAGTTCCGTCAGACAGAGAACACGGTAAACGACGCCATGAACCATACCCAAGACACAATCAGCATAGTTAAATAAAAAATCTCAGGAAAAAGAACAGCAAGAAAGTACTGTGTGCAAGTTCAAAGGACTCGAGTGAAGAATACAGATTCCGTACTGACATTGAGAACGGGGCGTCCTGGGTGTACGGTACACTGTCGTACCAAAATACACTGTAGTTTTTAAGTCGTATTATAACAACGTTTCAACAGTATTCATGTGTTTTCTTTAAAAAAAAAATTGGCTATAAATTGTTGATCCTTGCTCAGTCCACTTTGCACACGACGAAGCTCTAGGGCTGAGACACGCTAGCAGGTGGACGGCACGGCGTTTCCATGCTAACGTGGAATTGGAACATAACCATCGCGTAGGTGAACGACACAGCCATTACCTGCAAACAATCAGAACATCACGCTTAACCAACTAACCGAAGTCTCTGACATGAAAGACTCTTGATCAATAACTTGTCTTGGACAAGGTACAATCTAAAATGTTTCAGAACTTTCGTGTCTATAACCATTGCCGTGCCCAAGTATTAACAAGGTATGTGTGCGACAGACCGTGGCTTGTCGGAACAGGGTTCGCGATGCTATGCCAGCTCCGACAATCCACGCCTGGCGTTTACACCTACCTTGGCCTACGGCGCTAGCAAGCCTTCTGCAGGCTAGGAAACGAACATCGTTCCTTTAATTTTGTCCATAAGTGTAAAAGCGGTGTTGTGTAACTCACCGTTTTGAAGGTACTTCTTTTCAGTTCGAAGGTGTTCAGAATTGTTGTCGTTGAAGTGCTCCACCACACTACCTCGAGAAACCGATGGAGCTGCAATCATACATAAACGGAATGAATAAAATCAGATAATTTCAAGATGCGGGACAGTTGGACGATGCTAAATTTAAAAGTAACTTTTTCGTAAAGCGAGTACGACTGTTGTGGTGTGAGTTTCGAGTATCGCCTTACATTTGACCTCGCATTTGACGAAACTAATCTCGAATAAAGAAAAGGCCAAAAAGAATTAATTTGATTGATTGTAAGATCACCATCAATCTTTCATTTCTATCACAGCAAAAACTAATAGTGGTTAGAGACCTTCCTTTAATCAGACTTCAGGCTGGCGGCAAGTCACTATACTGAATATTCGACACTGTCCTTGCCTGAGCCGGCCTAAGCTTCAGTCACTGAAGTTAACTGGTGGCATTCCACGCACAGTGCAAAATGTTATACATACCTCCTCGCAAGTGCGAGGGTCGCAAACATGTGCATACGGTTTTTGCAAGACGTCTATGAATTGTTCACGGACCTGCAACATGTGCTGCTGTATCGTTACGTGATCCTTAGCTCCTAGTGCAGATTGAAATGAAAAGCCACGGTGGATCCTGCACCGTGTGAAAAGGTTTTACCGCTCCCGAAGAACGATGAGGTATTTCGCACAACACAAAGAGCAGCACGAGATGAAGCCATCCTGCCATAGTTTGTGCGAGCCCCACCTGTGACAGACTCCAGTTGATGCAGTCGCACACACACTTGCTCGGAGACCCCCTCAGGCTGGTTCGTCTAGCGAAAACCTATTTCCGAAACACGAACAGGCCCAGATCCCACACCAACTGTGGGTTTCCAAAACCCCTAAAAAGTAATGGTTTTCGGGCCTAAGTGGTCTGGCACGGCATGTCGGTGCATCACACTAAATGTTTTTGCACAAATTTTGTACGAGACATCACAGTTTTGTGTGCACTCGAACTTTTCGTACAAATTTGTGCAAAATTTTGTACAATTTTGTACAAAAATTGCGAAAAATGTAGTTTTTTGTACGAAAATTGTACGAAAATATCGTGTGCACAACAAACTGTGATGTCTCGTACAAAATTGTACATGACATTTAGTGTGATTGTTGAATCCGGGGCGACCAGACACTTTAATAGACCTGGTCCTGACATTATCGGCCGCTTCCACCACGAGTTGCCCACATCAGAATCTTTAAAAAAAGGGGGGATGACCGACTGAAAAATTTTATGATTGAGTCAGGGCGAGGAAACTGGACAGGGGAAGAACTGAACACCCCTTTCAAATACCGTACGAACAGGCATAACAACCATCAAAAGTTGTTCCGTGGCATCAGCGGTTAATTGCATGACAATTGTTGAGCCTGTGCATTCGGCATTTGAAGTAAAATATGAGGTGTGCAGTTTTTCCCCGCACTGACCCTAGGTCTCGGCAATACTTTTTCAGCCAGGGGTTGGAGGAGGGTCCAGGAGCCCGTATGAGCTGAGGGGATCGATATCACGGACCCGTTTTGCGCCTCTACGGGGCACCCGTTGCAATGAGTTGTAGAAGCAAGACCAATATGGGTATTTTCGGAATCTAGGTGACGAGACAAATTAAATGGGCCTCATCCTCTGATGTAGTAAGAGTTGACACAAGAGACTTGTCCTTATTTTGATTAGAAGGGTGGGCCTCAGCCACGATGATAAGCGGGCTTCCCAAAATCTCAACCTGAGAGTTATTCGTTGACGTCTTTTCGATGCCCTCGTACATGTGCAGGACGACCATGAAGACTAGCACGCCTCCAAGTAGGAGCGTGCTGACGGGGGTGGCGATGAGCTGCGCGTTGAGCTTGGCCAGGTTTAACCAGGCCCCGCGATACGCGGTGGCACGCTGTGGTGTCAGCTGGCCGCGGTGCGGCTCCTGCGCCAAATTGTTAGGTCCAGGTCAACGTGGAACTAAGGTCTGTTCTGATTTGAGCACTCTCTCGTAGCAGTGTGCTCAGCTAAAGACACTGGCAGAGTGTATTCAGCTAAAAGCACACTCTCGTTAGAGTGCACTTGTGCCGCTGAATAGAGTGTACCGAGCACTGTTGAGTTTGCACAGAAGTTATGGCCAAAACATTGAGATTAAAGTTGCTACTAAAGGGACTTTAATCGCCAAAATCAAGGGGTAGTTATTTCAAAATAATGCAATAAACGAATTATTGCACTCCAGGGTGCGATAAATCGTGGGAATCGCAAAATCGGTTCTGTTGCAAAAAAATTGTAGTAAAAGTATCGCAAAAGGAATGACAGTGCACACTTGTCGGGGCCGTCCGGGGGAAAGTGCTTACCCTTCGCAAGGTGTTCGCCAGGCTGTTGGCAGCGACCTGCACGCGCCGGCAACACAGAGCGGGCACGGCAACACCGAGGACGAGCAGGCAGTTGATGTACATGTGGGCGGGGATGGCCGGGAAAAGCATGTTTCCGTATTGAGCGAAAGCTATTCGCGAGGACCCTTCGTTCAGCCCCAGCACCACCAGGGCCACAGCTACCCAGACCTTCAAGCATCGCTGCCCAGCACTGCCCTCTATCAAGTCGCCGAAGTCATTCTGCAACGCGGTACAGGCAGAGATGTAGTCACCCGTAACCTATCCGAACTCGAGAATTCTCAGGTTTATCAAAACGATTTGTAGCCCAATCGACTTTTCCAGCTTCATCTCGGTGGAGCAGGTCAGCCGTCCGCACTGAGAAAACCTTACAGATGATTTTAAGCCTTACAAAGAAAAGCAGCTTGAGCTTGTTATGGAAAAATATTTTGAGCATACATAAGCTTACAAAGAAAATACTTCGTAATGTACGAACTATTTCTTCGTACAACAGAGTAAATTAGTTTGTATTATATATGCTCAAAATTCTTCGTAAGGTGGTTTTCAGCGTGCGGGATAAAACAGGATGTTAAAATGAGGCACGGAGGAAATTTGCGGGTAATGTGCGGTCGGTGCTGCCGCCTCGCGAAGGCCTGGAAAATAGTTTCTTGCTTTAACAAGCGAACTTGTGTGTACTGTGGCTCAAAAACTGCCTATCTGACGGCGCTCCAAGCCCCTATGGAAGAAAAATCAACTCGAACTACTGCAAATTTCAATAAACAGCCTCTCGGCATTTTTGAACTTTTACTGATAAACTTCAGTTTGTGGAGCATGAGCTACGAATACTGCAGCCGTTTCTGGTATTGGTTCCTATTACTCACATTTACGGTGTAAATGAGTCAAGGTAAGTTTCGGATGCATTAGATAATGGAGCTGCAAGCGAGTATGTTACGGTGGAAGCACCAATCCAAGACAAGCAATTTCGTTCACCCAAACATATTTTTACAATGATGCTTCATCCTTAAATTTGCAGATATTTCTTTTACAGTTTATTTATTAATTATCATGGTTCAAGAGATACTGTCATTTGTGATTTTGATTGCGTGATGAAAAACGTACCAAAACATTACGTTCACTTCCCAAATTTACAGAGAAAGAAATTTGGCGAAGGACCGAGTCACTATTGTGAGTACACGAACAGGATGGAAATTTGCGAACCGATTCGTGTAGCACTAAAAGCAAATAATTTATTTTAGCAACATAGTTTGAATTACAAGGTTCAAATTTCTAGTGCTTACCATTACGTGTTGGCCCATCGATTCCAGGCGTGCAAAGTTGCGGCCTTCGACCCACACGACTGGCACAACAACCCAGCCCATCAAGTGCACAAAGGTGTGCGTGCGATGGAACTTTTGTGCCCAATCCTCGTCCTATGGGCAGAGACAAACACATGTACATTGGAGAACCACTGGAACCTCTGGCGCAGGGAAAAGCTATTGTTCTAGGTTTAATGAACAAGTAAATTGTGCTCTCATTATCTCAACTAGAAGGAAAATGGGGAAAAAGAAATATGAGCCTCTCGCTCCCAGGGCCAATGACCACTACATTGATCTTTGTAATAAGAAAAGAATCTTATATGTCCAGAATCTATCTATCTTCTGGAGCTAAACGTGAACTTTCAGATGAAAATGAATCATAATCAGACCAAAAACACTCAAATATATATGGTCATGGTACCCCACACTGATGTCTTACGGCGAAAGGCTGCACCGACTTATTATGGTGGAGGTTTTGTCCATAATTCGGTCGGAAAGCGGGTTTTAAACAATATATGGGTTCATTTGGATCTTAAATTTTAAAAAAATTAACAAAGATGAGTTTTATATGAATTCAAACCATCAAAACCTTTAAAAAAGACGTTTACGGGAATTAGTTCCAGTGAACGATTCGTTTAGTCTGTGACTAGACGAAATGCCTCTCCCACTTAGTGCAGTGACTCAAAGTACGCGTCGCAGAGAGAAGGGCGTGCCACGTGCAGCGCCAAGACAGACCGAAGAGGGCTTCTGGTGTTGGGCCCACGTTGTCAGCAAAGCCCATACGACAAAGCCTTGCACCACCAGAGCGTAGACCAGGGTAGATCGTCTGGGATCGAAGCAGATGCGAACTGTCGGAGAAAATGGTTGACACAACGTAAGGGGTCAGTCAGTTTTGATGTGGTTTGCAGTCACACGTACATCTACTATTCGCCGCCTCTTCCGTCTACAGTAAAACTCCTCTCCAAGCTGAACGATCGGGGAACCGATAAAACTTCGAAAGAACGTCCCGATTCGTTGACCACGAGGTGCAGGAAGAGCGACTAGTACATTATAATATAAAATACACTCATTGTGCCGAGAATTTGAAATATAGTTTGCATTGACATGGCATATCTTAAAAATGTATTATTTTAACAGGGGCAGGTTCCTTATGAGGACAGGACCACAGGACCTTTCGATGTACAGACCTTACCCTGTGAGGCATCTACACGTCTCATTCTTTCGCTCTGAGGGATTGTTTACTTGGTTGGAGGCCGATGGGCACGATGGCGAGCACGGCAGCCACGTACGCCAACGGCTGCAGGCCGTCGAAGAAGGAGTGGACCTCTTCGCGCTGACGCGAAGGCACCAGTGGTGACACAGTCATGATGGAAGCTTTCTTCATGACTCTGTTGTCTTCAAACAGCAGTTAAAACTGGAAAGACCCGAAAAAGTTATTTCGTTTTACGCAGTTAGAGCACAGTTTAAGTACAGTGTACTTGAACTGCATTTAAACAGCAGTAAACTGTAGTTGAACTGCAGCTAGTTATCTGATGAAACAAAATAGAACATTGGTGAATACTTTATGAACAATGAAGTCACTCTACAACTGCCCTTCTTAGTCACTTCAAATTACAGTGTGACACAAGTTGCTTAGTACACTGTGGCAAAGAAGTACGGAAAACTCTGTTAATTTTTTTTTTGCCAAGATTCTCCGTGGCCCCCTTATCAATATTCTCGGTAGGATCGTACAGAACTTCGGTAGGACCGTAAAGTCTTCTCCGTAGGACCTGGAAGACTGAATAGTCCTACGGCGAACAATGTACGTGAGAATATTGATAATGGGGCAACGGAGAATTACCACAAGCTGTTTGCAGAATTTTCCGTAGCTTTTTGGCACAGTGTACAATTCAGGCTGCAGATTCTTCGGCGCGGGATAACTTTTCCAATTGCAGATTTTCAGATATTCCTCATTGCAAAACATTTGGATGATTTTTTAATACACGGCGGCAATTGCAATGAATGACAGTGCATAGTAGGCTAGGAATCGCAAAAATCGGCCAAAATTCATTAATTGAACAACCGGAAGTGCCAGAGCGCTGCACGTTTTCCGGGAGCCCCCTTGAAATCGCCCTTGTCTTTACCATAGGCTTTCTGGGAACACCAGGTACTATTTTTACCGCGGCTTTCCTCCAATCTCTTAGTCTTAGCAGTAAGCTGGACCCATTTAAAGTAGTGATATGTTGTTTAGCTTCGGAAGGAGTGACTGGTTTGCTAACGGAGGTTTTATGGAGACTGCATGAGGACCCACGGGATCTCGGTCAGGCACGCTGTTCTATATGTGTGCCTAACGAGCGCGTTTGCAGAAAAGTCACGATATTTTGATGTCTATTGTCGCTCGGAGCAGGAACACTTACGCTGTGTAACGGTGTGCGTACCGTGCGAGTGTCTTTTCTCGGGAGCCTCTGCACGCCCGCGCCCAGCGTCGACAAGGTAATGGATTGGGCTGCCCCTGGCGGCCATGGCGTGGCTTGAACCGGCGGTGGATGGGCCGCACTTAGCGTGCCCACTCGTCTACGAACTGTTGAAGGGTCGCTCGCTCCAGGATGCTTGGTCGACACATGCAAGAGGGTCGATGAGGATTTTACACAGCAGTGATAGTCGCATCACCTTCAAATTAGGAAAAAAAGGGGGGGATAATCGACAACTTTAGTCTGTCCCGTCCATTTCGAACAGTCGCAAATGCTGTTCATATTTTACCGCAATTTTATTCAAATCTTAGTCGGTGTCCAAATGGATGCCGTTTTCGTTAAGCGAACCATTTACATCGTCATGAACCACGTCACAATCGAAGAGAATGGTTTGTCATCTATCCAAGCGAGTCAAATGGATAACCTGATCGCCATCAGCACCAGTGAACGACCAGTTAACAAAGTTAGCTCGAATCAAAAATGCACCCCTCTAGGACTCAAAGTGGCAAGTTGTTGGGCATCCTACTTCTAATCCGAATCGTTGTGAAATCGAAAACAGTTTGAATTTTGTCAGCCGTTAGGACGACAGTTGCGCCCTCTGACGGCCGAAGTCGGTTCCGGTAACCGAAGTTACTTGAGACAATAAATTTTATGTCTTTTGACCTGTGTCCATGAAACTTCTTTCACCAAGCTATGATGATTTTCGCATGACTACGATTGGTTTGACAGCCATGAAATTAGGGAGTTACCCAAAATGAGAGGCATGAGAAGTTACCCCCTATTTTGGGCAGCTTGGGAGTACTTATTCCCCCCCTCCCTTCTTTTTTCGGAGGTGGGGTTTTCGCCGGCCGCAACTGATTTTCTGAGATGTTAATCTTCTTTTCTATCAAGTGTATGTGCGGCCTTAAAGCTTCTCGTGTCCATGTACTTCCCATGTCAGAACCATCAATTTATTAACTTATCTTAAATCTCGTTTTGCAAGTTTAGTTGCACTTACGAGTCCAAACACGAGAGTTTTTCACTCTGGAAACCTCACAAACTTCTTAATTCATACATATAAAGTAAAGTATCTACATGAAAAGTATTTTAAGCATACGTAGCTTGCAAAGAAAATAGTTCGTAATTTACGAACTATTTCTTCGTAGAATTAACTAGATTAGTTTGTACTACCCATGCTCAGAATTCTTCGCCAGGTTTTTAAACGCGCAGTTTCTTGAAAACATGGGCGCTGCAGTATCACGGAGCGGAGCTCATCCTTATCGATTTGCGTCTAGCCAAGAGCCGCAATGCGTGCGTTGACGCAGCGCTCCAGCTTGTAGTAGGCGGAGCTTTCCGTGCAGCGCTTCATACTGGCCAAGTAGTTGGGCAAGTCATCCAGCATATCATTTTTCTCCCTAGGACAAAAAAGGACGACGAGATTTAAATGATAGTAAATGATAGGCATGCCTTGGCGTATACCCATTCATATGAGTGCAGAGCTCGCGTGAGTGCACGCTGAAGAGAGTGTATCGGGTGCACCCGCCAGTCTTCCACATTCTTACCAGGGCTCGTGGCAGTCTTCTAAGTCCTTGTGCGGTGTGCTGCTTGGGCTGTAGCCCTTTTTTGCTAGCTTCACGCATTCGGTGGCGATTTGGTGAGACTGCAGGCGGTTCGGCTTTTTCAACTGGATTCTTGGTTTCGGAAGCCCCTTCGGTGGACGCCCTGCATCGACCTGTGAGAAAGTCAAATTTCGAATAAAAAACAGGGGATGGGAGCCCTGAAAGTTGCCGAAATATGTCCGGGAAAATATTCTTTAAGTTTCAAAAAACTTTTCGCAACCTCGGAAATAATGAAATTTAGGAAAGATTCTTATAGCCGTTACTGGCGCTATTTTAGTGGTGAAGACGAGTTTTTAATACTGGGAGGAAAAGTGAAGGTGGTGGCTGTTCCCAGGGATACAGTAGCCACCGTATCTCAAGGAACGGAATTCACTGTACCCGAGGAATCCGCATCTACTGTACGCACTGCATACATAATAAATGTAAAATAAAGGGAACATGTCAAATTTGCGATAGAAACGATTCAATGGCGGAAATAAATTCATCTCAACAAGACGAACAAAATATGATGAGCATGTTGTGGGATCAGACTCCAAATTCAACAGCAATCTGCGTCGTCTAAAAAAAGTAGGATTTTGGACCATAATTTTCTGAGTCCGATGTTCTGCAGTCCACCTACTTTCGAAGACTTCTGACGCCGATTGCTGTTTGCCACAAACGCACTGCCCGCCGACACCGCGTGAAATGTTGAATTTCTAGTCTGAGCGCATTACATGCTTATCATTTTTTGTTCGTCTTATGAGTTTGTTTTCGCCATTGAATCATTTCTATCGCAAATTTAAAATTTTACCATTATTTTACATTTATACTATGTGCAGTGTCTCAACAGCTTCCAAGGTACAGTAGCAGAAGATGCGGGCTCGCAGGATACGGTAAAATCCGTTCCTTGAGGTTCGCTGATCTAGCGATGAGCTTACCACTAAAGAGAGCGCTACGGCCAAGATGATGAGAATGCAGTACTTGCAGGCCATGGCGTCGTTTGTTTTTGCCCGGACTCCCTGTCGTTATATAGTCTCAGAGTCGTGCCCAAACGACACGTATTGCCGACGTCTTCTTGCGTCTGTCGGCCACAACATCACGTTCTTTCTAGGAATTAGGTCAAATCAAGAAATGAGTTTTGTAGAGGCCTCCGGAAGTTCTTACAAGAATTTGTTAGCATTAAATCTAGGTTTGTGCAGTTGTCCAAAGAGCAAATGCCCGTTGAGAAAGTACGAAGGCCCGCCTCGTATCAGACGCAGTGGCTGCTTAAAGTTGGCCCAAAACACGATTTTTCAGAGGCATTTTTGACCGTTTTGATCAACTTTGAGCCAATACTACTCCCAATCTAAGGCGCATAATCGCACTCCGTAACAAAGGCATGCTAAAGGAAGGTCCAAAGACCAATTGACCGTTGAGTAAGTACGAAGGCCCGCCGCGGATCGGGCGCAGTGGCTGCTCAAAGTCGGCCCAAAACACGGCTTTTGAAGCAGTTTCCGTAATTAATGTTTCCGGCAGTGCTCGGCCGGTTGAGAACTACTGGCATAGTGAGTGAATCCTATTCAGTGAAAGCTTTCCAGAGCCATAACTACTTTCACGAAAGTAACACTGTAAAAAATTCCGTACTTTTGTACGGAAATGGTACAGAAAAATATAGTACGGAGGTACGGAGAAAAGTACGGAACGTTCCGTACTTGCTCCCTATGAACCCATGTAAATGGGTACGGAAAAAAGGTACGGAACGTTCCGTAGTTGGCAAAGTACGGACGGTCCAGGCAAATTATTGACCAGACATGTTCCGTGCTTTTTCCGTACTTTTTTCTCACAGTGAATATTTTTGCGGGCTTGTCATGAAAACGTGCATTGTGCCGTGTGAATGGGCCCGACTGCAATGTCACGGCGTGCACCTGCTAGCTCGTGTAGAGTGGCTTCGAAGCAGCTTGGTTCAGATACCATATTAGCCTTCGCGATGGCAGGTGAGACATCAATTCCGCCCACACGTGAAATTTTAAAAAAATAAGGAAACTATGTTTAGACTGCCGAGGGTTTAATAGGGCATTCCAATGAATCTTGAAACATAATAAGAACAAAAGTGAGCCGTAAAAACAGCTCCTGCGCATGCGCACTGGGTGGTGGGGGAACATGTGCGCAGATGCCGTTCTTAGGGCTTACTTTTGTTCTTCTTCTTCCGTTTCAAGATTCATTGGAGTACTCTATTGGATGTCCCTACACCTAGGCTACTTTCCTTTTCACGGCACACCAAATGTTAGGTCGTGTTAGGTATTCTGAGTGCGCAGATCTGAATTCCGGCGTTTGAGAACTTGGACACTGGCCCTTACAGTGATGCACTGCCCTAATTGTGCTGGCCAAACGGGTCGATGGGGCGTATGACCCAGGGCGGAAGTGGGCGGTGCTTGGCTGAATTCCGCATTGACGTTTCGTCGCTTTCTTCGTCGCACTGTTGGGCAGCCCTCAGGGGCGCGACAGAGACAAAGCGACAACACGTTAATTCGGAATCAGGCGGCTGGACGTGGCCATGATTACTCGCTCAAGGACACGCGCCCACATCCGCATGCTCATTCAGGAGGGTTGTTTCATCTCTGTCGCACTCGTGCGTCAAACGACTAGGCTTTATGAAAGAGAGAGAGAGAGAGCGACAAAACCATTTATCGAAATGGCTCGGCGGCACCCCGGCCTGGAGCCGCCCTCAGCACCCAGTCGGCCCGTGGCCCGTGGCGGCACTCCTGCCGTGGACTGCGACCTTGGAACCCTTCGCACCCAACCAGCCGGCCAGCAAAGTGAGTGGATCTCGCTTTCAAGTCTGAAACGCAAGAGGGTTCCCTGAGTGAAATGTGAGTGCGAGACTTCTTCCATTTTATGAACCTCAAAGATAATCCTCTTCAGTGCTTTACAGAAACTGATGTTGATCGGAGCCCATGGCTCCATGGCGACGTCGCCACTGAAGAGTGCTGTGAGACAAACCATCAATGAATTTTCGGAAAACACTTCTATTCATGGCGTGCACTATATCACCGAGCATGGTCGACGGTGGATTGAGAGGTAGGTGAGGGGTTTCCCACTCATTACTTTGATGTGCACACGATTCTAGGTTCCCACGATGTCCGAACTAATCCCTGGGGGAGTATATGTTCTGCGGCCCGATAAATCTTTCCCAAGTCACCAAAAACTCCGAAATCAAAATCTCGGAATTCGACGAATAGGTGTTTTCTATGTGGCAAAGAGATGCGGACAAAATTTTCAACTTTTTTGGTCCTTAAAAGCTTAAAACACGTAGTTTGAAAAAAAAAGAACCATTGAAACGTGCAAATTCGAAATCTACTCTTATTGAGTTTTCGTAGAGATGTTCCCAAAAATGCGCTGGTTGTTCGATTGATTCTCCCGCGATGAAAATGGAATCGTCCGATCAAGGGAACCTCTCCGGGCAGTAGGTGCTCGATGGGAGAAAACTATTAAACTAACACTTTTCTTCATTTTTTTAATGAAAAAATTTGGTTTTAGCTTCGATTTTGGCATCCTGACGACTCGAACAAAAAAAGTTCCATGACATTTTGTCAGTGGATATTCTCCCCAAACTGTCATGCTCACTCTGTTACGTCTATACAGGTTGGTGTGGATCGTCACGGAGCTCGTCTGCATAGTGGGAGCTGTGTTTATGCTGCTGTATCTGCTCTACAAGTTCCAAGACAACCCCACGATGACGCGTGTCGAGTCTTCCTTCCACCAGTTGGCCGATTTGCCGTTCCCGGCCATCACCCTCTGCAACGTCAACAGGATTTTTCGGTCGAAAGCGCAACGCTTCGTGGAGGGAATGTAATTTGGAGTTATATTCTTTGTTATTATTGTTTTGTTTTTTTCGGGGGCGGGGTAGAGCCTTGTCCTGGATTCCTTGGTCATCGAGTGAAAACTGTTTTTTTTTTTTTTCGTCCATCCCAGAAATTCCGTCTTTGTCCGAAATTCCGTCTCGGAAAACCGAGATTTGACGATCTACCGAAATATCAGTGCTACCTGATACGTTGAGTACTTTTAAACCGTCACAATGATGTCCCAAAATCTTCCACCATGATTCTCGCAGACAAAACATCAATGTTACTCTGTCACTCTTCCCACCCCAAGACACCCCAAGACAAAAAATCTCCTTTCTGCAGCAGAGTGCCGGAGACTCTCTCGGTGTCCCAGCAAGACGTGCTGCGGCTGCTGCCGTTGCTCGGCCAGTTGCTGTCCTCGGCGGAAATCGGGAGGAACATTGCGGGCCGCGCGCGCCTCGACGCCATCCTCAAGTACAACAACCTGACGCCAGAGGTCGTGCTAGAGCAGGTAGTGCTGCATTATCGAGTGCCACCACACTGTTTTTTTGGGAAAGGAGTGTTGACTTTAGTGTTGTTCCGTTTCGCCACAAAGAAGCTCGATCTGTTCTTGGAGCTAACCATAGCAGCCATTACGCTTGGAAGAAATGAAAAACGCCTCACTTCTACTAGAGTCGTACTCTGTTTTATGTTCAGGTTGGGCAGACGTGCTCGGAGCTGATCGAGCGCTGCAGCTGGGAGGGGCGCGAGGTCGACTGTCCATCAGTCTTCTCCAGGACTATGACCTTCATGGGCTTCTGTTGCTCATTCAACGCTGATGTGGACTTTTCGTAAGTTTGCAATATCGAGTGTGCCCGCAATCGACCCAGATCATAGCATAAAAGTCACTTTTAATGGATTTATGCTGACGCATGTCCACATTCAATGCTTGTCTGCCGGTAAAGGAGGCGCCGAAAAAACTTGTTCTCGGGGCGCGGTTTGGAACTCGTGTTCTCATGCTTCTCGTTCTGGCGTTCACAGGGTGGCCGCGCAGCCGTCGCGGGTCAAGCGCGAACCCCTCAAGACCCCCTACTTCGGCTACCCTCTTGGGCTGACAGTGCTTCTACACCCGCACACGGAGGACTATTACTGGGGGCCGTTCGTCTCGGGAGGCGTGATGGTTAGTGCTGACACGGTAAAAACGGTTCCTGGTTTTCCCAGGAACTCCCAGGAACTCCCTGGAAATCGCCCATGTCTCTACCATAGACTTCCTGGGAAAACCATGTACTGTTCTTTACCGTGGAGAGAGAAAGAAAAGATGACCGGCGACTGACCTTGGCGACGATTTACGAAATCGCCATCGGCAACATTTATGCCAATTCCCGAGGCACCTTGGCAACCTCGGATGATTTCCTCTGACTATGCACCTTGCCATTTCAGTGCGCGGTGCATGACAGCAACGAGATGGCGACCGAGCGCAGCCCGCAAGCCATGGTGGCTCTCGGGAAGGAGTCCATGGTGCAGGTTAGTGATGTGCGAAGCGGCTTTCAGCAAACTCCAAATCGAACCGAAAGATGGAAAATGTCACTGTAGTTAGTATATATTCCGTATTTTTGTACGGAAAACGTACGGACGAAACTGGTACGGAAGTACGGACAAAAGCACGGAACGTGCGGAATTTATGGCCGTATTGTCCCTAACTTACGAATTAAAATTTACATACACATTACTAATGAACCAATACGGCAGTTATTACACTGTGAGAAAAAAGTACGGAAAAGGTACGGAACATGTCTGGTCAATAATTTGCCTGGAACGTCCGTACTTGCAAACTACGGAACTTCCGTACTTTTTTCCGTACCCATTTATATGGGTTCATATGGAGCAAGTACGAAACGTTCCGTACTTTTCTCCGTACCTTCGTACTATATTTTTCTGTACCATTTCCGTACAAAAGTACGGAATTATTAACAGTGTATGGATTATGAAATGACTCTAACATAGTGTGCAGTTATGTCTCGTTGTCGAATGTGCCCTACAGATGGTGCCGCGGATCCGCAACGCGTCCCCGTCCCTGCGCGACGTGACGCCGCAGCGGCGGCGGTGCCTGTTCGAGGACGAGAACCCGACTTCGGCGTCGGACCAATACAGCGATCACATGTGCGCCATCGAGTGCGCGGCGGCCAAACTGTGGCGCACCTGCAAGTGCCGGCCGCTCAACTTGCCTCGCATCAGGGGGCCGCGAGGTGCGAGGGCGTCAACGGGCGATCTTCGCTGCAAACAGATGTGTGCACAAAAAATGCTGATATGGTCCGCGCACGAACATCATAATAGGCCATTATCAAATGAAAACTCAGCATGAGTCAGAGTGTTCGCCCTAAAAATTTGTGCATAAAAATTCGTAGGGCTAAATTCGTGCGTGGGCACGAACAAAATTGTACAAGAACATTAAGTGTGCATTCAGCAAACAAACGAGCACCGGCCAAGCATATACGTGCGGGCCTTGTAGTTGACTCCAGACAGTGCTCGCCCTGCGCGCTCGGCACACACTTGAGTTTCCAGAGTTTGCGAAACACTCCGCCAGGATTTAATTGAAGTTCCTTGCATTCTCTCTTTTCCTGTCCAGGAACACTTTGCGGTCTTGACAAGCTGCCATGCCTTGCCAAATTCAACGGTAAGCCAGCTTGTTGCAACGCATGTATTGTATTGCCGGTAAATGCTGTATACCATCGGAGATGCAACGGGTCGTTGAGGACTGTGCTTCGCGTTTAACGTGATTTCTATGGTTGAAAATGATGCGGTTATTTTTACTTTTGACTTTCAGAGGAAGAGCACGATGCCATGGTCAAGAGTCAAGTCAGGGGAGATTTGCTGCCGTCCAGTCCAGCCGAAGGTAGGTGAAACAACGGGTCATAGTCGACGGGTCCTTTTCAAAAGATCTTATCGCAGGCGAATTTCACACACTTTGAACATTTGATACAGCTACAAATCAATATACAGTAATTTGTGATTTAATCACCTTAAACTTGAAGATGATGGATCAAAGAAGCCAACACTGAAAATCTATCGGCGTGACTTCGCGCCGCTGCAGGAGCGTGACTTAAGTGACACGCCAAAAAACGGCAAGACAGAAAAGTCATTCCAAAAATCGGCGTGACTCATATATTCACGCCAAGTCTTGGCGTGATTTACACGGTAAAAACGGTCTCTGGTTTTCCCAGGAACTCCCTTGAAATCTCCTATGTCTCTACCATAGGCTTCCTGGGAAAAACAGGTACCGTTGTTACCGTGTACCTGTAATGCCGGTTTTTGGCATAACTTTTCTCATAAAACTCACTGTACTGTGCCCTCTGCCTCCAAGCTGAGGATTCGGGAGACAGGTTCTGGTTGGATAGAGCGGAAGAAACAGTAGAACACGTGTTGCAAGGGACGGCAAGCGACGAGCTTTGCGCACCGAGAGGCCAATGAAAGCGATCGCGTTGATGCCCGATGCCGACCACGACTGACCACTCAAGTAGCCCTGACCCAAGCCTAAACACTGTCTGGATTTTTCAGCCGACAAGTTGTCAGAGGAAATAACGCAGATGTGTGGCTGCTTGGCGCAGTGCAACTCCATTGACTACGAGCTGGAGACGACGACGGCAAACTTCGGCGCCTCGCGGATGGTTCGCCGCAACTTCTAGTATGTGAAACACGCCAAACTATTACGTATTCTTGAAGCGGTCTTGCTGCCGCACCACACTCTCCCATCCATTGGGGAGGACTGCATGTGGCCCCACTCCTCGCAGCCACTCCGTGCCAGGCGTCCCCGACCGGTCCCTCGGAAGACCGCTTGGCTAAGCTTGCCTTGGCTTTACTTTTTAGCAGATGCTACCTTTCCTTTAAAACATACCTTAAACTACAAGACACATAAAGGTGTCAGCTAGCTTTTACTTTTGCCTTTTTCTTGATGTGTGTTCCAGTAAAGATCTTAACGCGACCTCACGCTGCCTCCTGCACGTGTATTACGATCAACAAACGTCGACCCTGTTCATTAATGACCTGGTCAGCAACACTGTACAGCTGATGTGTAAGTGAGACGATGTCGTGCCCCCCTTTTTTTGTGCACGCCACTTGGAGCTCAGCGGATTAACAGTTGTGCCTGTGTCGGGTGCACGACTTACAAGAACATTAAAAGGCAATTTCTATGTCAAGTTGATCCTGTTTGATTCCGATATGAGCGTCTCTCTTTCACAGCATCATTTGGCGGTATCTTCAGCTTGTTTCTGGGATGTAGCTTCATGAGCGCCGTCGAGGTTCTTTACTTCTTTACTGTGAGGCTTTGGCTGCTACTGCGTGGTGCGGGGATGGCTACTCTAACGCCAGCGCAGCGCGTAGATGAGTCACACCCTGACATGTGAGTAACTGCCCTAGAGGCTCTTGAAACTGAACAGTGCACGTGGATGACTGACTCTTAAGAGTCAACCTGAAGATTGACTCTCATCAGCTTCTACTTCACACGCACGCTGTCAAAAATGTGCTTGCATACATCAAAGGTGCACTCAAAGTTACGGCTCTGACGCTACGAAGAACACAGGTGCATTGGATTTAACAGACCGTCTTGCACACTCTCGGGCTCAAATAGACGTTTTTAACTCTTGCTTATATAAATGTTTGAGCAGAGCAGACGTGAAAATGTACTTTTTATCTTGAACTATGCCCAACTTTGATCGTTTTCAAGATGAGGTTGTCAATAGATCATGTAAAGATTAAAAAAGTACTTCGCAAATGACAAAAAGTCAGTTTTACTGGACTCAAAGCTAACGAGAAAATTGTATATCATACGTTTGCAAAATGAAACGTTTGGGATTGAGATAAAAAGTCCATGCGAGGCTGAGAGTGTACACTATATGAACACCCAGTCAAGTAGACAATGTTCAGCGCACGATTAGGATTACTCTAACTCAGCCACCTACACTCGTCAAGTGGCAGAGTCTGCATCGTCGTGTATTAGAAATCCTAATTTGATGAAGAATGCCGTCCGTTGTTGTTCCCTACAGGTGCCATGCGCCTGGAGCCGGTATGTCCTTTGAACCAAGATCTAAATCCGACGTCTGGAGCAGCGGAAGACCCATTCGCCCCAGCGCTTTCTGACGACACCTTACAGAAACCTTAATCAGTTACTAGGCCTGCGGGCAGGCGGAATAAAGCACGTCAAAACTTATTCAGAAACTTCACACTATTTATCATTGGCCTTTTTTAACGCATGAATGATGCAATTTTAAGTACATTCGTTGGTGATACTATTTTTGTTATATGCTATGTAACTTATGTTGGCAGCACTTGCTGTTAGTTATGTAAACCGCCCCTAGAGCGCGCCCCGTTTCGCTTCGAGTTCCTGCTCGTAAAATCCTGTTAATCCGTCGTCAGGGTTTGAGAAGAAAACATCTGTTGTTAAACGGTATACCGAGTTTATTCTTTAACCTCACCATCCGGAACTAACACAATTTTGCGTTCGCCATAGTAATACAGATTGTTTAATGCAACGGCGAATTGAAAAAGGCACAAAGAAAAAACGTTTCCTGGTTTTCCTAGAAACTCCCTGGCAATCACTTGTGTCTGAGATATATAAGCTACCTTCGAAAACCAGAAACCGTTTGCGCCGTGCATCGAACAATTTGTATCACACTGCACACATCGATGGACGAAGAGGAGGGACATCAAAGCCTTCAAACGCAAAGGGTGCAGTGTTTTCCTGCTCAACAACAAATCCAAAATATGAAATACACTTGGCTTCAAAGGAAAACAGCAGTTTTCGTTCTCAACAGTTAAGACGTTCTTACAGAGAGATGAACGGAATCTGCCACTGTACTTTTCGTTTTTCAAGGCCGACTTCCTTTCCCGCCGCGTTTAACCAACAACCTCGTCGTCCTTTCCTCTGCCTAAGGCTTTGTCTCTGCCAGGCACTCCCTCTGAGGGAGCCTCAAAAATCGGGGTAGTTACCCCGAAATCCGATGATTCTGTTTACCGTGCTCATTACGGATGCCAGTACGCTCCGAGGCCGATTTCCTGATGAGCGACTGTCGCCTGGGCCCAACCGTGAGGAATGCAGCCAAATTGCTTGTCTAGCGGCGGGGGTCAGTCACGCAACGACCGACCGGTGTAGCGCGACACCGAAACGGGGTCAAGGCACAGTAGGCGGTTGACTCCCTGAGGTGTCGTTCAGTGAGGGCACCAAAAAAAAAAAAAAAAAAAAAAAAGAGAGGTGACTCGAGCAGTCCTTTCGGAACATTTAGGGCCAGCTTCACTTGCGATGCGACTTTCCAAGGATGGATTGAAGCTACCACAAAGCATCGTGTCTTGTGTGTGATTTCAGATCTGAGATTATCCATGCGGGATGATCGATCTTCGATCGTTCATGTCTTTCATGTCAGAGCGTCGTCCAGAATAATGATTGAAGCTACAGGAGACACAACTAAACATTCAAAATATTTTTTTTTCAAAACCTGATTTTTAACACCAAACCCTAATCAAGCACGGAACGCCCGGAACTTGCCCTGCGTTCCGGACGCGTTTCCATCAGCGGTCTTCCTATCGAGGGGCATTACAAGCAGATCAATAGGTGGACATCTGGTCTAACGTAGTTTGAGGACAACCAGGAGCTGCTTACCCGCCACTTACGGTAAATGACTCGAAATTACACATCAGTGCTCTAGCTACCCCAGCCCTAGGCCCCATCCGGACACTTTCCCCTCAAAGTGCGTTGCGGTGCCGCCCAGAGTGGAAGCAGTGAATCCGGCTTGTGCTGTCGGGACGGGGCGAGGCTTGGAATTTAGAACGATTCCACACAACATACAACACTTTCATTCCGAGCTGCAGCGTGTGTCCTCCTTAATGTTGCTTAGAAGCCTGGCTGCGACGTATGCCGTCGAAAAATGCCTTTTAGGCAGAAGCTTTGGCTGAAGCGCGTGTCGTCATAAATGTCCTTGGCCAGCCTTGCCGCGACATGACGCCACCTGAGCTCTCTGCCCTCGGCTTGGTGCTGCTGGCGGTCGTCGGGCTGCAGAGGGGAGGTGCCGCACTGCGGCAGGACATCGGGTCCGTAGCCGACGTCGTCCAGTACCTCGTGCACTCAACAAAGACTCCGACGCGCGTGACAGCGTTCCTGTGCAAGCCAGGTAAGCCCCTCCACTGTCGTGATAGACACTTCTGCGCTCTATAATAATAAGTATGTGTAACAAGGCGTAAATGTGCCACGTGGATTGGTGCGTACAGTAAGTTTTAGGAGAAAAGTTATGCGAAAAACCGGCATGACAGGAAAATCACGCCGAAACTTGCCGTTAATTTCTGAGTCGCGCTGATTTTTGGCATGACTTTTCCGTCATATCGGTTTCTTCGACCTGACACTAAATTCACGCCTCTTCAGCGGCGCGAAGTCACCGCCGATAGATTTTCAGTGTATAGGTGAAATCAGTGGTAAAATTGATTCTTTTGGTCTCGAATAATCATGGAAAAGTCAATGAAATTGACAATGGGAAGGCGGTATGGACCATGTCTGATGACCAACGTATCCCTGTTTGAAATCGTCCGCACGAAGGCAGAGGCCGCGGCTTGGGCCACGCCCTCGCGGCGCAGGGCTTGCCGGTGGCTGTGCCGGTGGCTGTGCTGGACCGCTACGAGTCGTGGGTGGCAGCGCTTCCACTCCGGGGCCACGCTACGACGGCGGTCCTGGACGCTAGCTGTCCGGGCGCATCGCAGCTGCTTGCTCTGGTCAGAATCGCCGAAAACTTATACAGCTGCATCCTTAAACTCTTATACTCTAAATTGGCTGCACTCATATTTTGTGGTGAAGATTTTCTCCGTAATTCAAACAAAATACCTTAAAATATCTAAAAGGTACAGTGACTCGTCAAATACTTTGTCGTGTTTTACAAGGACCGGTCACCTTAGCAAGGGTCTTGGCCCCTGGTCCTTAGGGATACGCCTCTGGCTAAGGGAGAGAGAGCGCTGGAGCGTAAACGCAATCCAAATTTCTTTCAGCAATCCATCCTTCTTTAAGCGAGTTCAAAATCGGGAACAAATATGTTCCGTTGTGTTTTATTTGTTTATTTTCCGCATTCCTTTCCATTTCCAACTGTCCTAATGTATATTCAAGGTATTTTGTCGTATGTCTTTTTTCATTACAGAGAAAATGTCCGTCAAAATATGGTGTAGCCTCACCATGAGACACTAAGAGTGTGCCTTCCTGGGCAACAAGTTGCAGAATCATGGTTACGCTTTTAGGCAGACAGCATGGATCAGTTCAGGCCTCGTGTACGCTGGGTGCTGTTCAACTTCGATAGCCGCCAAGGCCCAGCCCCGAGCAAAGAAGACAGATCAGCAAACCCGGACGAGCTGACGATGCGGGGAGTTGGACCCCGTTCTGCGGTGGCGAGGCTGCTGCACTGCGAGGACGCGGTGCCTCGCACCGTGCAGCTGGAAGCGTGCTACTCGCGCGTCGATGGCATCTTGGCGGGTCTCGGCGTCCTCTTGGACAGCGACGTCACCGCCCTCTGTTCGGAGTAGGTCGCCGTAGCAATTCGCCACAGTCACAGTCGAAACGTGGTCCGTTGATGCAATCAAAAAATAGTTTCAATAAAAAATGTGCCAATACTCAAAAACTTAACCCCCTGGCTCATCAAAGTAACAAGAAATCGTTTGTGTTCTGAGCAAATCGCTAAAACATGAAAAAAACCAATTTCCATGGCAACGGCACGGCCCCATCGTGCCACCCGTCAAAATATAAACTCGCCGATAAAAAGAAAAACGCCGAGAAATTCGCCAATGCTAACGCATTGCACGGTGTCCTGACATTGCAACATCTTTGAAGTCTGACCTTAGTAAAAAGTTCGTGGCAGAAAGGATACAGAAAATTTGTTTTCGTGAGTTGGCAACAATTTTTTGTAAATCACTATTAATTAAAAAGACATTATCTGTAAAAGTGCCAATTCAAGAATATTTCTGTTTCTGCACGAAGTGACTTTGAAGGATTACAATAGTACATTTCGTAGGAAACGTTATATTAAGAAAGAAAGCGTGTAAAATTATATCGGAAATTCCCGAAACTGTTTTACAGTGTACCCCATTCTTATTCTAGCGGGGATGACGTGGTGGCCGTGTCTGCGTACCGCGTGACCCTGGAGTCGGGGCTGAGGCTGCAGCTAGTGGCAAGGTGGCCCACCGCCGCCAGGCCTCACTCCTTGTCCACGGCCAGGATGCATGCAGATCACCGTGCTCTGGCCGGCCGCAGACTGGACCTGGAGGGATCCGTCGTCAACGTAGGCTTCGTGGTCGGTACCGATGATTTCTCTTTCACGTGGTAATCAAGCCATGCTCAGCTCTTAATCAGCCGAAGTTCATACATTGTCGCAACATGAATACCAGATCAGATGGAATGCGGATAGAGGACGGATACGTATAGTCCGGCACGGTCCGACAGGAGGCCGGAAACAGTGCGGAGACGGCGGGGTGAAATCCCCCTTCCCCTGTCCCCTCCACGTGTGCTCCTCCGTGTGCACATCCTGTCGCCAAGTCGTATACGACGTATACATGGCCGCCCGAAAGTAAGTCATCTCAACGAGAGTTTGGTTGCGTGCCTACCCTCAAGGCCGCATGGAGTTGAGACTTAAACGCTCAGATTATAGAAGGTTTAAAGTGAAGCGGCTCTCAGTCACTGAACTAAATTATTTATGATAAGGATAAAGACTTAGCATTACCAAACATCGCACCCCGTACTTGAACTTGTCTCTCCTTCGACGAAGATGCCAGGAAGTCTCGGAGAGGTTTCCGTCGCTTAACACTATTTGTCGGCGTGACTTGGTTTCTCCGTCAAAGGTGGAGGCCACAGACAAATTCAAGGATGTCGTCGCTCACGGCGCTCATGGCGGAGTGTCACCGGACGTCTTGGCTGCTTCCACCTTCAATTTGATGCTCTACATGATACGCATGGCCAATGCCACGTGAGTCGAACCTATCGAGCCATTACGATTATCAATACGATCCTAGTATCGCGGTGAAAACGGTTCCTGGTTTTCGCAGGGAAGAGACAGATGATTTCCGGGGAAAACTAGGAACCGTTGTCCCTTCGCGGTACATGCTACACGAAGTGTTCGGTTCGTAAAGTATCGTGAGCAAGCATCTTAAGGACTCAGGCAACAGTGAGAATCGAACCGAATTCAGAGCGTCTTTGCAATGAAAAATTTCCCAATACGATGCTTTGGAGAAGAACCTGATCAGAAGTCCAGTCGTAATCGTCGTTACTCAAAAGAGTATAACTCGATAGAGCTAGGCGGTGCACTCGACCATGGTCCTTGCAAGGCCTTCAGAATTAATCTCGCCTTTGAGTGATGACCATGCATACGAAGGACTTTTGTTGCTTGCGTTCAAAATTGCTCACCTGCTCAATCTCAACCAGCGTAATAAGCAACGAGAATGTTGGTTTTGGAAAATTTTGTATATTATGAAACATATACCAATAACCATTTCTCATACCTAGGTCTAACGTGACATTCTTACCCTCCTACGGCCAAGTCAAAGACAACGAGGTGCCAACAAAAGGGCTCATGGGAAAGCTGGTAGGTTCTGACAAGCACTCTCAAGCTGCGTTTTTCGCAGATCAATATTGAGCCGTTTTTAATGCAGAGGGTTAGAATGATAAAGAAAACCCTAGAAGCAGCAGAACGCTTTTGTTCTATCGGAATATTTTGTTTGTGATGTGCATTTGTTCCCTTGAACTCGGTAAAAAAAGATCTAGCGTAAAGATGTATAAGACGATTTTTTTCTTAATCCATACATTTTGTTTCTTGGTTCAACAGAGATTTTGTCTCAGTCGACATTGAGATTATTCTTAGATCATTCAGAGCCTTCTCTTGGTCCATAAAGAGTTTTTCTTCGTCCATGCAGTTTTTTTTGCTTACAGGTGGAGGATGCGATTGAAGTGGGCGGGTCTCCTCTTGTAATGTTCCCCGTGCGAATGAAGTATTTCGAGTACACCAACTTCTACATGCCCTATTCGTGAGTATAACTCTAGAAGCGCCGGGTATTCAGAGCAAACCTGACCATGAGACCCCGCGGCAATATCTTCTTCTCCGTCAAAACTCAGTCATTTCGACTAAAAGTGAACATGGGATTTGCTGACCCTTAGCAAGACAAAGGGTAGTGATCACTCTTCGGGTTGCAAGGGTCGGCGACTGGGCCGAGCCTGTGTCCAGTGGAGGGAAAGAGGGCTGGGCGCGTCAAAAGAAACGTAAATTCCGCAAGAGTCCTAGCTCGATAGGTGAAGTTCCCCGATGTTACGCTAGACTTGGACTGCCACGATGCCTGAGCATGGCCCAAGCGCTCCCAAGGCCCGCCTAGGCCGTTGCCAACCCCTGGTCAAGTGCACTTTCTCAAACGCATGCTTGGTGCCGTATAACATCATGCTAAGCATGGGTATTAGTAAGTGTGTACTTGCCAAGCATGCATTCGTAAATGTGTGTTAGGTTAGTCTAGCCTGCAGTCTCTAATGTTGCAGTGGCGTGATCGTGTTCCGCGCGCCACCCCTCTCTTACGAGCACAACGTGTTCACGTTGCCGTTCCCGGCGTCCCTGTGGGGCGTGTCTGGGATCATGATGCTGCTGTGCACGGCCCTCCTGGCCGCGGTGCTGCACTCCGCTGAGACCCTCACCAAGGGTGCCGTCCGCCAAGACAACGCCCTGCACGCCAGCAGCGATGCATTGCTCATAGCAGTAGCCTCAGTCTGTCAACAGGGTTAGTCTAACTACCTGCGTTTCATATTCGATAAGATACAAGGTTACGTTCATTTAAAACTTACATCCAGTTCGCAGTATCGCAGACATTGTTGCGAAATCGCGTACAAACTTGCACGAAAAGCACATGGGTTGCGCGAAATTGTGAGATCATGTTTACCGGAAATATGCTATATTGCTTCAGTTATGTACAAGAAGTCTACGGGCATGCATGGTTAAAACCGTTCCTGGTTTTCCCAGGAACTCCCTGGAAATCGCCTGTCTCTACCATAGGCTTCCTGGGAAAACCAGGTACCGTTTTTACGGTGTGCAATGTGCGTTGTGCCTAGCATAGCTAACTGCAATGTGGATTTAAGTCGCGCTTTTTCGCTCGAGGTAATCAGACAAATAGTCCGCCCCAAATAGGGTCGCCCCTCTGGACATGACGAAACCAGTGTTCCATAGAATATCGTGATGGCGCCAGGGTACTCGGTGGAGGTGCGCAGTGTCCCAGGCCGTACCGTTCTGCTCATGATGCTGATGTTGCTCCTGCTGCTTTACACCTGCTACTCGGCCTCTATCGTGGTGTTCATGCAGAGCACAGGCACCAAAGTAGCCCACTACAGGGACCTGCTCACCTCGCAAATGGCGTTCGGCATCAACGACATTCCTCATGTGGTCTTTTACTTCCCGGTAAGCTAAAAGAGTAATCTGCGTAAGGTGAGGAGGTCATGTTTTTGTGAACAGCTGTAAATGCCAAGATATCAACCATGAATGTATATACATATTTATAATATATATCGTATGAAGAAATTTCCCCTTAGAGTGGGCCGTGACACGCGATTTGTCGTTATTGCAAACTAAATAGCCAGTTCTGTGTCTGGAAGCGTGTTCTGGACCTTTATTTTCTGTCCTCTAGACACTGACTGATCCGATTCGCCGGGCGCTGTGGAAGGACAAAATTCTGGATAAGGGGCGAAACAGGCACGTGTACAACGTCTCGGAGGGAATTCGCAAGGTGCGGACAGAGTACTTCGCCTTCTATGGCATCGAACACTACGTCTTCGGGACGATCAGCAGAACCTGGACCGAAGAGGACAAGTGCGGCCTGGTTATCATGGGCCGAGATTTTAATCTCTTTCAGGATCCACACGTAATAATCCGCAGGAACTCTCACAATACCAAGGCCTTCAAGATCATGTGAGTACTACTGTAGCGCAGGAGTTGGTTAGCGGAATACCCAGTCAACTGGCGGAGGCCGGAAGCTCTCGACACAGCCTCCCCCTCTTGATTGTCAAGACTTCATGGAGTGACGGTCTTGCTCTAGGTGTTTCTCGTAACGTCTCGTACAAAATCGCACACAACGTTTAGTGTGAACTCTCCCCTTCCAGGATGAGAAGGATGGTGGAGCGCGGTATCTGGCACCGTTCCAAGTCGAAATACACTTTCGCCCGGCCTACGTGCACCAACAAAAAGGCCGTCTTCAACTCTGTGTCGCTCACGGACGTCCGCGCCGCCTTCTCCATGCTTCTGTTCCTCATGTCCGGCTCGCTGGTGCTCCTGGTCGCCGAGGTGGCTTGGCATCGCATCACAGTGGGCTGGCGCAGCCACATTTGACATCATTTATTTTTGTTGTGAACGACCTGATTGCACAGTTAAAAATGAATGAAATTTGATGGCATTTATGTCATGAAATGCAAGGATGCAAAGTGACTGTACAAAAAGACATGTAGATCTTGTTGCTTGCCTCATTTAGCTTAACTATTAAAAAATTCTAAGCATAAGAAATCGAAAACTAAAATTAGTCAACCGTACTTTAGAGTAAATTCCAGGGAGAAAAGATCAGTTATCAATGATAAGACATATCTTAATGGTTACTATGATTAAAAATGTTTTGAAATAAACACACAGACTTGAGTAGCAAGCAACACATGGGAAGCCATACCTTGCTTGGTTACCAGGCGTCTTATAAATGTCACTCTTAGGGCAAGTCATAAAAAATTTAGACCAAAATTAATATTGTATAGTTGTGTGCTGTAAGACCCATTATGAAATAAAATATTGAGTGGAGCCCTCGAAATGGTGACTGTTTAAATCTGGAGCAAATAACCAACACAATACAAACATTTATTTCTTACCATAGGAAGTGCATGGGACAAAGGTATGGCTCACTAGTATTCACAACCCTCCCTTTGTCACTACCACACACAAGATGATAGTACTCATGGCAGCCCTCACTACAAAACATATCATCTTTGGAAGCTTTGTAGTTTTTCTTTGCACTGCAAATTTTATCAGTGGATCCCTTGACTACGGTTTGCAGCATGGCAGCCCCCTCTGTCGCCCTCGTTAACTGAGCTAAAGCCGTTTTAAAAACAGGCAGTTTTGGCCCACAATTGATTTTTGTAACCAATTGTGGGTCAGGAATTTTTGAAGCTACCCGCGCGCTAAGGCTTGTACAACTTTTTCCAAACTTAGGTAGACCTTTAGTCTTTCACCCTCGGCAAGGGCGTCCCCCTTCATTCCATTATTCGAATTTTTGAAAATGTTCCAAAAACATCCCTTTTTTTCTTTCCTCTTGCCCTCGGATAGCCTTATTTTCAGTTGAATTTGGAAGGTTTCTCTTTGCTGCCAGATAGGTGGTGTTGTGGCCGTTGCTCAGACATCCGCGCTGTTGTGTATGTACCTGTCTGTCGTGTGACGCCAAACACTGAGACACGCTCAAAACTGCGAAAAGTAGCTCAAGCTTTATTGCACTTGACACATTAAGTGAGGCTTGAGGGAGCCGGGCTGCTTGAGGCGGGGAGGGTGGCGAGGACATGCATCGGGGTGCTCCATGTCTGGCAACGCCGTCCTCGAGGGCATTCGTATGGATACCAGCAATGGATCCTGAGATCCGACAGCAGTCGGCAGTAGTCTTGGGGCACGTCGGCGGAGAAGCCGTCACGGTCGACGCGGTACGTGGCGTGACGCCACAACCCGCAGAAGTCCGGCGGCTGCCAGTACAGTTCACCGTAAACGTCCACGGACTCGTCCTCCTTGCCCTTGTGGCGGAGTACGCCGTGCTCCGTGCGGCCGAACGTCTTGAAGTCTGTGTGCCTGCGAAACCAAAAACACGATGCGTTAGGACCACAATTCCCAGTATGACACGCGGTCGCAGAATCGGGTCACATTTTAGTCGTTAAATGGCACTGTGTCAGAGCTGTAAAACCAGGCTAATCGCCAGACTAGGGGGACTAGCGCGAGATCGGCGTTCTTTATCGAAAAGTTGTAAAGTGCGACCCAATGCTGCAATAGCGTTTCATACGGACCAGCACACAGCGGCCAGAGAACACTGGTGAAACAAAGGCATAAAAATTATGCCCTTAAAGGGCATAATTCGTTAATGCCTTTGGGAAGGGCATTAAAATTTTGCTGGAGATTCCTATACCATTTACGCCGTAAAAGAGTATTTATGCCCTAAAGGGCATAATTTTTATGCCTTTGTTTTACCGGTGAAGGTTGACAGGAACTACTTGGACTACGCACTTGAAGTTGAACACGAAGTAGTCGGCGATTACTGCATCCGGACACCTGCCGAAAATGTATCAAGAAATGAGCGCTTATTGAGTTCGTTGGAGGGCTTTGAACACACACTGTGTGCTCCAGGATCACCCTTCAAAGCATTTGTATGGTGAAGTTGTGATCACCTCGAGCGTTTCATGGAGCACCCGTCTCAGCGTAATGATGTGTTCACTCAACGTTTCTTACTCTTCTAACAAGTTTCGCCTAGAGAAACTTTCTTTGAGAACGACAGTGTCAGTTAAGAGATTTTTCAAATTTGGTCACATTGTGTAAAAAGTTGTCAGGGAAAACGAAAGTTGCCCATAGAATTTGAACTGCGCATATCTCGGCCTCAAAATCTTGGGGCCATTCTAAAACCCATAAGGACAAAATTTGGTCAAAAAAAATGCTGCAAATCGTCAATGGTCGCGACCGGACTTTTTAAAAAGTGCCTCCTACGCTGCAAACGTGGGACACTGCAGTCTACGTTTGAATTTTTTTTGTAAGGTCCTTTCGTTAGTTCACGAACGTTCCTTGAAGGATCTTCATTGACTCTCGAAGAATCTTAGTGAAAAAAAAAATCTTTGGGAATTTAAGGGTAATCTTCGTAAATCTTCCAGAATCTTTAAAATACTATATCAAAGCATTTTTGCAGAGATTTTTTGTATATATAGGAGATTTGTTTTAACAGTGCACTTAACACACTGGTTCGCTCAGGAAACGTTTTTATGTCATTACCATCTTCGCTGAGCCCGGGGCAGCTGCGTTGGATCCACACCCGAGTACTCCGGCACGTTCAAGTTCATCGTCACGTTAAGGTTGCCCGCGGCGCCTCCATGCTCTTCGAGTAACTGGATGAAAAGACAACATTTCCTTGTCGGGGGCTGTCTGGTAGCTTGATTGTCAGTCCAAACGGAAAATGTAGGGAACCTACCTTCCCCAAGTCGTACTTGGACTGCTGGATGAACATTTGCATATCCGCAACACTGCTGTAACATAACTGTAAGTTAATAACTCCGCTAGCTGCTGAACAAAGGAAAAAGCTTTTCCGAGCTCGCCCGCATTTACGAGCGGTGCTAACATATCAGACCTCTCTTGTGAGCAGTCTAGGCTCGGACTCAACGTCGAGGTCCCGGCCGTTGGACTGGACGTCGTCGGGGAACTCGTCAGCGTATTCGCCGTCGAGGTGTCGGCCGTTGGAGTTGACGTCATCGGGGTAGAGAGCATCGCGACACCTGTTAAGAGAAGGCACAGAGTAGCGGACTCCACGAACTGCGGTGTGTGGGTGATTCCGTGCCTAGGGGGTCCTTTTGGCTGTAGCAAATTGAGAACCAAATTTGATGAGTAATAATCAGTTTCTTGAATGTTGTTTTGGCAGCATTAAAGAAGAATTTAAGATAGAGTAGGGAAAAATTGAACGCCATATGTATATAATGAGTTACTCGTAGTGTATACCAGTCGATTTCACTGTTGAAGTTGCTTGTAAGCGCGGTTGGAGCTTGGTCAGCTGGAACCCGGAATTTCGGATCACTGCACCGCGACGCTACCAACTGCGCCACAGTAAAATATTTTCTATTTAGTTAGTGTTCTAATCGAATGTGACTTCATTACTGACATTCGATTCGAGATGATTGAAGAAGGTTGCTTCGATCACCACTACTAGGCGCACAGTTTAAGGCCATGCCGTATTTGGACCACTGCGAGCCTTTCCTTACATGATTCAACCCGTTGTTGCCACCAATCACGCGGTGGGTCCATCGTTGAGGTCTCGGCCGGCGGGGCGGAGGTCGTCGGCATCTCAGCCATCTGAGCCGAAGCTGAGACTGCTGGCTGGCCCAAAGGTTGGGTAAGTAGCGAAGGCACAGGGAGAGTGCACACCACCACCGCGGCGAGGAGCATTGCAATCATCGCCTGCAACAAATACTAAGCTAGAGATGCTACGGGGGAAAATGGGTGCTCTGGACAATTCGTGCAAACTTCCTGGCACTCTCGTCGCCCTCTCAGGAATGCCGGGGAGGGCTAAAGTCACATGGAAGGTAGGTCGGAGCAACCGAGATGCATGCTGGGAGACCGGGCAACTTGTCCCTTCCTAATCCGTCGCCGGCTGCAGCGGAGGCCCGCCTGCCAGCCAGCCTGCCGGCTTGCCCGGTGTCCCAGCAGCATTCATCTCGGTTGCTCCGACATCTTCCACATGACCTTAGGGAGGGCGAAGAGTTTGATGCTGAGTGCGGCTGACAATTTGACGGAAAAGTTGAAATGCGAGGTTGCAGGGTTTCACAAAAATGGCTCGTTCGAACTGGAATACATTTTTTTTGACATTTTTTGTTTTGGGGAGGTTTTCAGGCCTTACATACCGGTTGGGTCAGGTTGACCATCTTATGAAATACCCGTTAATTTTTTTCAAGATTTGGTGTTATGGGTATTTACATTCATATTCTGTTACTTAAAATACTTCTCTGTGCTGGTAGCATAATCCAGGCAATCACTTTTCCATTTTATTAAGAAAAGCTAAAATTACATCTTAGGCGCAAAGTTTCTTCAACAAGAATTGAGACCAGACCCCAAAAAAGTTTGGAACGCTTTACTTCAACCACCTCTATGGCCCAAACCAAAAATATATACCAGAAACCAAAACACAACCAAATTTAAAAAAAATGTTTTATTATTGTTTTAACAAAAGTTAAAAGTTACACTTATAAGTGTGAGACAAACAGTGCTTCACACTGGGAAGCGTGGGACAAACGTGGCTCACGCTTGTACGCGTGAGACACAGTGGTTCGCACTAAATAGTGTGAGACTGTCTCTTACTTGGATTTGCAGTGTAGCCGTGTATTGGACTGTGCCAACTGAGAAAATTCAGAAATTTCAAACTGCGCATGCGCCAAACTCAAACTAACCAGTAGAAAATGCTCCCGGTCAAACGTGATTCAGTTAACAAACACCATAACCACCTCGCTCCATCACGCGACTTTCAGTGCTCACCTTCGTCAAACTAAAGTCACCCGCTTTCTGAAACCATCGTTGTCAAGTTTATGACGTTTGTCAAACCAACCGTCGTGCTTTTGTTACTTCGTTGCCGGACCAGATCAATTCAGATTTTCAACCCCCTTCCTAAACTGTCTTGGTTTTGACTTTCGACGGCATGCTTACTGATGATGTGCACGCTGCGTCCGCAGCAGTCCGTTTGATCGCAGGCTCTCAGGCAGTTCTTCCAGCTCGTCTGTCCTGGGCGTCGCGTGGAGGCCGACTCACGCGGCCCTCAACCCGCGGTCACGCTGGGCTAAGGAGGGGAGCACACCAGCCTGCTCCACCAGTACGGAGGAAAGGTGGGGGACACCGCCGACTTGTCCGGCCTGAAGGTGGCGTGGCCGGTTTCAAGTCATTGCGCGCGTCACGCGCCCGAGACCAACTTTTGACGCCTGGGGACTGCAAAGCACCTGGCGTAAAGCCTTCCCCGCGCCCCGCAGCCGAATCAACAGATACAAAACTTTGGCGAAACTGCATCAAACTGACAGAACGAGGTTGTTTTTACATTCTACGCTTAACTTTCTATCCGTGTTTGATGATGAAGGGACTTGTGGATCTGTGAAACAGTTTGAAAATAAATTTGTATGGGAGACAGTGAGACATTACCAAAGCAGATTTCTTTTTTAACTTGAAAATACATTTAACTGCCTTAACTTTGGCGACGTAGTTCATTCTTGAGTTCATTCTCGTAGTTCATACCAAGGGGAGGTCTAGAGGCATTGTACACGCACCTGCTTTCACCTAGTTAGTGTCGATAGGCTAATAAGTCCGCCGTCAACATCACTCAGCCCTGAGTTCAAAAACTCCTCGACTGAGATTTTTTTGTGAAATAACCGACGTTCTATGCTGTGCATTTGGGTTGGAGCTGTTCGCCCAGCGAGGCTGTGGCCCACCGTGGTTTGGAGTGCGATTGGTTGCCTACCCTCCCGGCGGCCCGCCGTCCTTACGAGTACTACCTTCTACCGTCTCCAAAAGGATCCGGCCACACTATGGTGATACCCCACCTCCCTGCCCTTCATCAGTATCTGTTCCTGAAATCGACAGTTCTCTATTAAACTTTGGATTGGTCTCGCAAGGTTTGGTCTCGCACTAGTAAGAAATCTGGAGTGCAAAACCAGCGGAGACTACTTGACCTTCTCCTGCATTAACTTATTTTTAATTCATGTTTGGTTTGGTGCTAGAGCTTGCGGAGTTTGACAGTATCCTCCTGGACAGCGGCGTCGGAAGTGGCGTGCAGCGGGGTCAGGGTGGGGTGCAGCGGGCGGCATAAGCTAGCACAGAAAAATGCATTAGCTTTAAACTTCTTGCAGGAAGGCGCAAAAGTTTTATTAGAAGATGGTCCAGGTTTGAAAGAAGCTAAATCAAATTAAATGTTCTCATTATACTGCAGTTTCTATTCAATTAACTTCAATTAACGTACTTCAGTTACGATGAACAGGGCATACTAAAACAAGGCCACTGTCATAAAGGGTAAGATATGAAACATCGACCATGGTCCATCCGAGTCGGGATTACTCGGCAACCAATAGAGATAAATTAAAAATCTCAGCGGGAATTTGAAGGTGATGAATCATTTCGTTCACATGACTTCTTATCGATGAATGTGATTGGTAGTCTCCAGTTGACAGGCATTTCAGCAAAAACTGTCACAGTGCCCAATCATTCTGCTGGCTCCAAATTGTATCTTGGACTTCCTGCGATTTCGCGGACTTGCCCCTGTCGACCTGCACAACGTAGCCACAGAAGTTCCCCCACGAAAACGCACGTGGAAGCCGCTAGCCCTGTCGCAAGCAGAGTGAATGGCCCCATGGTTCTAGTCAAGTCCAGTCTAGGAGGACCGTCTGGGCGTCTCCGCTTTTTTTTCCTGACCTGGGAATCAAGAGACAAGAGTAAGAACGCACGATTCTGCACCAGGAACGCAGTTGGTCTCGACAAAAACTTGAGCGTGCTATATTTCGAAACAAGAGATCAGAGTTATTTGTTGAAAATGGTTGTAAAATCAGTCTCGGAACTTTCTGCTCGCAGACACAAAGCTGCGCGGAGGGACTACAGAACCTGTGAAGATAAAAAGACACCGCCATGACCACTCACCAGTCGTTGAGCAATGGCATCCACTCTTGTCAACCATGGTTTGTACAATGCCCCTCCTCGGATGGCAGCCACGGCTTGGTTGACGGCAGGCAGGAGCGGAGAGTCACGTTCCAATAAGGCACCCGTATAGAAAGTGAACACTGTCTCGCGGAGAGGCCTCAAGAAACGGCGAGCGCGATCGTCTAGGAAGTACTTGGGACCGGCGAACTCCATGGTGCGACCAGTCATGACCAGGGCCGAACTGCAAGGTCAACGAAAATGGGATTTACCAGCGAGAATCCTGTAAGAAAAGCTTGGAGGCAGCAAGTATGGGAGGGCAGTGGTAAAGGGTCTGCGAATGCTATGGGACTCGATCACATCACACCTTATCGTACTCGTAGAGACGCAAATAAAAACTCGGCCGTCGACAATGTGTAGTTATGACTGGACAAAATTAGAAACTTTATCTATTGTCTGACTGTTAATTTTACTCCCTCAAGCGTAAAGTGTTATAGTCCTCAAGCGGACATTTTTTTATGTGTTGGGTTAAGACCCTGAAAATATCCGAAAAGTGCCTTGCGTGATGATTTCGAACAAGTCGTTGTACCTGTGTGACTGAACCAAGAATTAGTTTTAGTTCGAATGACCAAAACTAATTCGTCAGTTCTACTTACTTTCTTTGACAATGTAATGCACCTCGTCAAGAACGCGCTTACGAAAGCATGGCGCAGCATGAGGACCTGCGATGATGCCTTTTTACCTTTCCTGATTCATCCAAAGTATTCTGGAGCACTTCTCCAATGATTCGCATACTTCAATAGAACCGAGTAATTCTTCTACTTCGTTTTGAAGTCCCAGCGACATCGTAAGAATACGCGCTGCTGACTCCTGTAAAACGACCACGGTTGGTTCCCCCTTTTGAAATAGTATTTTACTGTTAACAAAATCTTTACAAAGATTATTCTAGTTGGAATACATCAGAGTATTTGTTATGTATTTCAAGTCCCAAATTTTAGTCGAGGGGCCAACCACATTGGATGTTTGGGGACACCAGATTTCTTAAGGCTGAAGATTTCGTCGGATTTCGAAAGATTTTAACCGATATTCGGCCCAAAATTAGCTTGTTTTTGGCCTTTTTGGGGGCAAGATTTCAGATTTCCCAGAGATTTCTAGCGCTAAGCGGACACAAGATTTCTAGAGTGGTTGTCCCCTCGTCTTTTGTCCTCCGTCACTGACAAGGTGAGGAGCACTGTAAAAAATTCTGTATTTTGGCACGGAAATGGTACAGAAAAATATAGTACGGAGGTACGGAGAAAAGTACAGAACGTTCCGTACTTGCTCCATATGAACCCATGTAAATGGGTACGGAAAAAAAAGTACGGAACGTTCCGTAGTTGGCAAGTACGGACGTTCCAGGCAAATTATTGACCAGACATATTCCGTACTTTTTCCGTACTTTTTTCTCACAGTGGGTCGTTACTCATGATTTACTAAGGTAGGATGTGCTCGTACCATTTACAAATTAAAAAAATGACGCAAATTTTAAAAGGAGTGCCTTTATTCTTTCTGTGAGTTTTGAAAAAATTCTTGATACAATACGGAAATAAGGGTGAGGTGGAACTTAAAGACAGTTTAAAACGTGAAATTTGTTTCTGATTCGACGCGGCTTGAGAGAAGGATGAAATATATTGCGATTTAACGCGAGCAACTACGTATCTGGTTTCCTCCGCCTCAGAAGTTTGAACGCATATATCGTCGCATTTGAACCAGTTGACAACCTATAAGCTATGGAGTTAAAATATCTTCTTCGCGCGGCTTGGAATTACAACTCGTTAGAGTTACGATATCAATATTATAAGTCTATTGTTATTATTCTTACCTTTACTTCCCTAAACGACGAAAATCCCCGAGTCACCAGACGACCTACATTGGCCGTAGACAGCACTGCGCGGTAGCCGGAGTTGAAGTGCATGGCAAACACCACCCAGAGCACGATGAGGGCCGAGCAGCGCCGTGGCTTCCTGAGACACGACGCCCAGCTGCCTTCCGTGAGCACGCCGAGGACCGTCATGGTGTCCGCGACAACGCCCTGATCTGTCCTCAGAGACAGCACCATCACTGTAGACGCAAGGGTAGAAATGGGAAAAGGGTCAGAGCGGGGAAGAACTGAACATAAGATATATATGGATGTTCGTTCACTCCCACGAACGTGTAGCGACCTTAGTGCATTCTTTCATATCGTCCGTCCACGTCGAGAGGGTAACGACTCATAAATTTTGTGTCAGCCGGATTACGGATTACCCGGATTACCTCCGGATCACAGCAAAAAAATGCCTGGATTACCTTTGGATAACGCAGGATTAACCCGGATTACCTCAAAATTTCCCCGGATTACCTCAAAATTTCGGGTCATCCGGAATACGGATTACCAATTTGCTGTCAGCCGGATTACCGAGGTCGTTACCCACTCGGTCGGATGTCAAATAACTTTTCTTTCGGTTCCCGGCCCATCCAATGCTCCTGCTCTGCGATTCCCCGATACGTTACCTAGTGCCGCCATCGCCAAGACGAGGCACACCCACACTTCGGGCTGCAGCACCGCGTAGGGGTACTTCCAGCGAGGGACGCGGTGTTCGGGCACCACGTAGCACCTGACCGCGTCCTCCATGTAGCCGTCGCTGATCGCGAAGAAGAGGAACCTGTCCACGGTGGGGTACACGGACCCCACAACGAGGTCGGCTCGGCCACGCGCCAGCGCCTCCACTGGGTCGTTCAAGTCAACCTCTCCAGCAGTCAAATTTCTCTCCTGGAAAAACGTCCATGCCGTCTGCTTCGGGAAGCCAACGTCAGCCACACCAGACGCACTACGATTTCTCTCCTGAAACAACGACCATCACTGTAGAAATTTCATACGGAAAATTTACAGAAGAATAAAGAAGAGCATGGTGATACGCAACGTCCGTGCTTGCTCCAGCCTAACCGTTAAAAACTGTTCGTCCCAATCGCGGTGAAGCAGACTCGTGGTTAATATGTTCACAGGAAGCACACGCAGAGAACAGTTCACGGCGTATGAAATGAAGTTCGCAAAGTCTATATCCAGACCTTTGACTGTCGGAAGAAAGAAGTTACCTTCATCACCAGGGTACGTCAAAGGAACGCGATATTTAGAGACCGTAAAGGTTATATCTGAATCGTGGCCCCACAAACAGTGCATTTTTTCCCTTCAGATTTCTAGGTTTCAGCTTGGTCTCGAGTGTCCGGCTTAAAGAAGAAAAGTGCGGATGTAGACGCCCTAACTTTCGCGCCATGACGGTTCATTCAACCTACCTGCCGGCCGACAAACTCAAGAGTTCTTAGTTTTGACAAGTATACGGATCGCTACACGGCAGAGTTCAGAAAGCTCCTGAGAATGAAATGACAACCCTCATCTGTCCCGAATTGAACCCCATGAATCCATGCACGCACACTTTGACGCAGGTGGGAGAACAGGTGGGGAATGACATCTAAAACTAGATAAGAGGATGGGACTTGTCTCACCACACTTATTTTTTGGACCAAATTTTCGCTCATGTTGACTTGATAGACTGATAAGAGGTCGCTAAATCAACTCGATTTAACCCCTTCTTCCGCTTCCTGGATCAAATATGTGTAAACATTTAGTGTGCAGTTGATACCGGGTTCTTTGATGCAACGACAGTGTACCTGCGTACTCAACATCAGTCGGTGGCCTTTGCAGAATAGGGATTTCCTGCGTCAGTTCTAGAACAAAACGTGAAAAAAAATCTCTTATAATCTGATAAATTCCGAAACACGAATATTCTTCGCGTTTCTTAGGGGCGCATCACTTTATTTTACTTCCACTTGCGACACAGAGCGCTCTGTTTAGCCCACCAATGTCATCGCAAATTTAAGCGATGTTCATTGCAAAAAGGTCTGATGAAATTTTGCATCTCGCAGTTCTGCAGTAGCAATACCGAAACCTCAACGAATCTCAAACAGCTCGCCTGGTGGCTTTGGGACAATAAGAAGAGCTTCGTAGATAATTTCCGCAATGTCGCCGATATCGGTCAAACAGTCAAGCGCAAGAACCTATTTCCTAAAAAAACAAAAAAAAACTTTACAATATTTCGCACAAGTGGCGCACCTGTTTGGTTTTTCGCATGAATGTACACAAATGGCGGATCAAACATTGGTGCTACGACAGCCACGCATCCCTGTAGTTTGAAGGGCTTCCCAGGCGTGAAGAGACTCAATGCCACGTGACGAACGGTCCTATCCTGACGACTCCATGTTGCCTGGAAAAACACATTGAATGGTGAATTATGTACGTACTTCCTGTCAGTGACGTTTGGCTGGCCGCTGCCAACGATCTGCTTGCGTGCATACACGTTTTTGTATTGACCTAAAATGGCATATATAAGTAAACATGGAAAGGTCAGGCGCATTGGACGTGCCGATCGCTTCTCTTGGTGAACTTCTTGCAGGATAAATTAACCTTCACTGTGAGAAAAAGGTACGGAAAAAGTACGGAACATGTCTGGTCAATAATTTGCCAGGACCGTCCGTACTAGCCAACGACGGAACGTTCCGTACTTTTTTTCCGTACCATTTACATGGGTTCATATGGAGCAAGTACGGAACGTTCCGTACTTTTCTCCGTACCTCCGTACTATATTTTTCCGTACCATTTCCGTACAAAAGTACGGAATTTTTTGCAGTGTTGCCACTGTCACCAAATGCCAACTGAAATCTTTGAATTTATTCTAGAGTACCTCACGGAAAGCTTTATTCGCACCTCCAAAGAAACGGGGCTCCAGCGGTGCCCACACCGGACTCCCGGTTCATACAGCGCGCGAGACGAATAGACTGAGACTTCTCCCTGAAAATGGACAAGCTTTCACCGCAAAACAGAATCATAGAAATGTGTCACCCCTTCCGACCGCGCCCCGTTACCTCGGTGCCCTGAAAGGCGACTGCGATGCGCCAGCGCTTGAAAGAGCGCAGTCTGTCCAGGACCAGAGCGGCGTCTCCATGGCCGCGTGTCGCCACGACGACCACGAGCACGGGCGTGAAGCGGCGCAAGTGTCTGAGCACCTGCATGGCGTGGAGCTCCACCTCCTGCGCCAGGCGAGTGCGGGAGCAGGCACCCAGCAGCAGCACCGCCACGTCCACGCGGGCGTCCGGAGCCTCCTGCCGGCCACGGGGACAAACCGCTGGGAAAGCTTAAAAATACTTGTATCACTGAAATCTGTGTTTTGGTTAGATGTCTGTGCAATGGTCTCTGTGACACATCTCAGGCCACAACTGTGTTGAGTGAATGTCAGTTTGAAATTGTTGTTCCGACCATTACGTTTTCGGTGTATGCTTGAAAAAAGAGGGCAATACATCTGGAGCAATACTGGGCCCCACCCGCACCCGTACGGACGGCGGCTAGAAAGACCGAGAGGTTTTTAAATGGTTCATTTCTACACACTAAATATTTTTGTACACAATAAGACATCACTATTTTTTGTGCACACGAACTTTTCGTACAAATTTGTACGCGATTTTGCACCAAAATGGGCAAATAGGTTCAGTTATTTTTACAAAATTTGTACGAAAAGTTAGTGTGCACAATAAAAAACTGTGATGTCCCGTACAAAGACGCACAGAACATTTAGTGTGCATTTCAGCATGAGAGTCTCTCATGATTTCAGACAGGCGATTGAATAGGGGCATTTCGGTTCGCCTTGCACGACGCGGGCAAAGGAAACGAAACACAGTCTCCACGAACGGAACGCACCCTCCCCGGCCGGCGCGTCCGAGGCACGGCGCGCATCTGCACGACGAACGAGGCGTGCAGGCGGCGCGCGGCGCTGGGGCAGAGCACATCCCAGCGGGGCGACAGCGCCACGAGCACGCGCGGCCGGCGCGGCTCCACCGCAAGGGGCTGCAGGACGTCCGGGAGGAACTCCGGCTCCAAGCAAGGCGCATCAGCCGCCAAGGCCGCCAAGGGGAGGAAAGCGTTGGAGGCGCCGCCGAGCCCGGCTAGCCCGGCCGGCAGCAGCAGGGCAAGGAGCATCCTGGGAACAAGAAATGGGCCTGCTCTGTCAAAAGCTTGCGAAGAAAAGTACAAAGTACACATGGGTCTCAACCCATCTTCAATGGTTCTCGACCCAGCTCCAATGGGTCAGGACCCATTCACAATGGGCGTGAACCGGTCCAAACCCACGCCGAATAGGTTAAGTCCGCTGTGGGATTTTTGAAAAGTTTCGGGGAATAAATTACAGTGACAAGCAGATACAGTGGCTGCCTAAAGTCAGCCCGAACCACGATTTCTACACATTTGTTACCGTTTCGACAAACTTTGCTTCAATACTGCGCCTAAACTAAGGCGGCTAATCGCACTCCGTAGCAAAGGTGTTCTAAAGGAAGGCCCAAAAAGTACCCACCCTTTGAGGGAGAACGATTAGCCGCCTTAGATTAGATGCAGTGGCTGCCTAAAGTCAGGCCACACCACGATTTCCACACATTTGTTACAGTTACGACAAACTTTGCTGCTATACCGCTCCCAAACTAAGGCGGCTAATCGCACTCCGTAACAAAGGTGTTCTAAAGGAAGGCCCAAAGAGTACCCACCCGTTAGGGGAGAATGATTAGCCGCCTTGGATTAGACAGAATGGCTGCCTAAAGTCAGCCCATACCATGATTTCTGCACATTCACCGTTTTGATCTTATTTGCGGACTGCTGATTTAAAGTTCACAATATTTGAAAATTACCGAAAAATACAAATTTTTCCGGGGTCTGCGTAAAATACCGTATTTTACTGTAATTTATCGTACTGTTTACCGGTAATTTTACCGGCTCTTACATCCCTAATCAGGTTTGACCAGAACTCCTTCTTTATTGGTATTTCATATCTTACTTTTAAATCAGTAATGAAAGTGGGAACACCTTGCAATGCGATTAAGATTCGGAATTTTTATGTTTATGAAGGCATCGTCAGTTTACCAATTCTGTAAATTGTGTTTGTCTTCACAGCCCCTACTCCCCGCCCTTCAGGTGATGAATTGGGATCCGAACTTATAGTCAAGAAGTCCAGGCAAGTCAGTCGAGCGGCACATCTGGTTGAGGTTCCGGACTCACGCGGCCCCCAACACGGCACCTCCGGAGGATGATGGCGCACCTTATCGACACCTTGTCTCTCACTGATCACTGGGACATAAGTGTTACCTGACAAGGAAGTTGTGATAAAGCACAAGAGATGTCTTCTGATGGATTCACCGTTCAGGCACCAAACAACAACCTGCTGTATTGTAACAACGCTTTTGTAGCTGACTTGAAATATAATAGCGGCCAGCCACGTTCGTGTGGTCGCAAGCTACCGTGCTTGTTCCACGATACAAGTCAGGAGCAGCTGAACTGCACATTTGATGGGACTCCGCCGACTTGTCCCACTCCCCAAGGACACCTGCATTGATTATTGATTATTTTTATTATTCTCGCGGAGGGGGTTTCTAATATCCCTGATGGAGGGCCACGGCAAGCTTGTGCTAGCGTAGGCTGCACAAAGCAAAGCCGGTCTTCCCAGCCGCTGTCCTCGCAACCGTGATAGTGTATCGATTTTATTAGGAAAGGTGGCGTACCAAAGGCCCGTCCCGTACATTTTACTCTTAATGACACTCTTAATGAGCGGCTAAAAATGTTACCAATGGAATAAGAACCACTTAAAACGAAT